AGGGCTTAGCACAGATGCACGGGGACAGGAGTGCGCATGGTGTGTCCAGGCCATTGAAACTAGTTGTATGTCAACCCCTGACGTAGTATGTAAACAGGGACTTGCGTCTTACTCACCCAGGGATTTTGTGCTGTCAACCATACCAGACCAAATGAGGAATCAAGTGCTTCATGTTAGTGTTTCCTTTCATCTAAATATTCCTTTTCTTGTGTTCCTCATGTTTGTTGTAGGTTGCCCACGAGGAAATTGGAAATATTGTGGCTTTTTTTATTCCTTTTATAGCCTGCATTTTTCAGGTAGGTGAAATGTTGATATTTTGGTGAGTGGGTTAAACCCATGGCCTTATTTTGTTCTTCTTCTGGAACAATTGACAAGTTTCTAGATCTTATTTTTGTTCCACCAAGACTTTGGTTCAAATCATGGACAATACCAAGCTCTCAGTGGAAGTTCCTTAGACCTGTCCTGCCCAATCGTCTCATTTCACACAGAAAGAACTTTGGACTCAGAAAAGGAAAGCCACTTCCTCTAGGCCACAGGGCTTTTGACAGCGGCAGAACAGAAACCAGGAATTTGGACTTGACTCCCAACAAGGGAGGGATGAGATTGGTGTGGGGGTTGGGTTGGGCCTGACTAGTGTGAGGCAGGGTCTTGCCTGGTGCTATTGTCAGGGCAGCCCAAGTACAGAAATGTCCTTCTACAGAAGTAACACATTGTATGTGTGTTTTTTTTAAATGCAGGACTAGGTTAAAAAGTTGTTTTTAATAGTGATACTGTCTGACTCAAATCTGTCTTTAGGAAATGAAACAAAAATTATAACATTAACTAGATGGCTTTGATTGTTATTTAGTTATTTTCAAATAAGCTGCATACTTAAAGGGTGGAGTAAAAAGGAGCTTTTGAATCCCCTATAGGCAGAGTTAATTCTAGTAAAAACCTGACGCTAATTCTCTTTCTTCATCCTCCACATGGGCTAGAATTTTAGTACCTTCTCTGCATGCTTAACCTTTTTTTTTTTTTTTAATTAAAATTTCTGTTCTTAGGGCACTTCCTCTCTCTTCCACATACATCCTACAATGGTCGATTTTTAAGAATTACATGATTGTGCAAAAAGAAATTTTCAACTCAAGATTGAAAATGCATTCGTTTATTAGAAAACAAATCTCAAAAACCTGGGGTGTTGCCAGTGGAAGTTTCCTAGAGCCTCCATTTCAGGGCTGCAGGGATCTTACAGCCCCACCTTCATTCCCTCAACTGCGTTCTTACTTGGATAGCTCTTTCGATGGGGGGCTCTCTCCTTCCCACTGGAGCCGTTGTTGGATTGCTCTGTGTTTTGAGAATGTGCTTTTTTCCTTTTCAAACATTGAACTAAAAAGCTGTTTCCACCTTTTGCAGAACAAGAATGACCTCTTTTCTGTGTGATAGCCCTACACAAAATACCACTCTCCCTGCTGTAAGATCTTTTCCCATCTCATGCTTTTGAAGACATGATAAGGAGGATATCTAGGGAATAGTGGTTCCCTATGTAGTAGTAACTCAGGAAAAACTAAGATAGTAAAAGTACAGCTTCTCTCACCGGCTTCCTCACCTGTCGTGACTCCCCTGAAGGAAAAAAACAGTTGGAGGCCAGGCAGTTTTTTAGCATATCCCAGCCTGGCTGTCTGCCCCTTACCTGCATCTCTTCTTTCTCTACAGCCTGCAACCTGGCATTTCTGTCTATATTTCTTAAATTTTTTCAAGAGTGCCATGTTCTAATTCCTCCTGTAACATCTATTTCACTTTTCTAAATCTCCACTTTCATCCAATGATTAATAGTGAGTCCAGCTATTATCCAGCGAGTCCAAGCTTCATTGTAATGAATTCAATTTAATAAGCTAATGTGTGTGACATGACACTGTGCATGGCAGGTACAAGAAGTGAATATTTCATCTGACATTGTGGCCATTTTATTATCTCTGATCGGACTTCCTCTTATGGTGTCATTTCAGTGTTATTTGTACCTGTTCTACAGTCCAGCCAGGACTATGAAGGTGGTGCTGATGCTGCTCTTTATTTGCCTGGGCAACATGTACCTGCATGGGCTGAGGAACCTCTGGCAAATCCTTTTCCACATAGGAGTGGCTTTTCTGTCTTCCTATCAGATACTGACGAGGCAGCTTCAGGAGAAGCAGTCTGACTGTGGAGTGTGAGGATCGTGTGATGAATGGATCCTTTGATTATCTCATGAGGGTCATCTGTGTTTCCCTTTTCACTTCTCGACTTGACCTCAAGTTTCCATGCTTGAAGTTCCTTTCAACCAAACGAACTGATAACAAGCATTGGAGATTTTTAACAGGTGCAGCTGAAGGCATGAGGTCGCTTGATCCCGAGTCCTGGTTTTGTGCCGAGCGTCAGTGCAGAATCTCCAATTCAGCACATTTACCTAGGACAGCAGAATCTGGGGCCTCATTCAGAAAGAGCATTATTGGAAGATCAGAATGGAATTATTTTTGTCTTTTAAGTTGAATGATGCAATAATCCACCAGATTCAATAGCACTAGTTTTAGTAATTGGCAGTTGTCTCTGAGGAACCACTGTAAAATCCTTATCAGCTTTTCAGTCTAAATGTGACTTGGTTAGTTTTCTTTAGAGGGTCAGCACAGGATGAATTAAAAACTTAAAAATGTGGTTCATAAATATAAGCTAGACATATTTTGTTTACATTTTTTGATAACTTAGGTCCAATATGATACCTTTAGAATATTTAAATATATTTTGGATATAAATTTAACTTATCTTCTTTTAGGGTAAGGACAAACTTAAGTTGAGAAAATGGTTAAGAAAGCTGAGTTTATTTAATTTGTATATAATCTTTTATGGTGGTGGGACTGTGTGGGTACAGAAATGTTTTGTATTTATTTGCAGGGTATATCTGAATATTTTAAAAATTAATTGAGTAACCAGTGCTACTGGATCATAAGGTTATAAGCATGAGCAGAAATGAGAATTTTAGGATTCCTTTCAGTGAGCCACAAACTGGAGTAGGTGAGTCATGCGGATTCACACAGTGGCACTCTGCAGACACAGCGGGGAGAGGCTGCTGTCATCAGCCTTGTACGTGGCAGCTGAGTGCGTGTCATTTTAATGATGATGAATACGTGACCCTGTGTACCTGTTCCCAGAAGACCTCCCAAATTAATTACTCCTCTACACCTTTCCTAGTCATCTTAATTAGATCAAGGGCCTCATTTTTTTATGAACAAGAGTTAAGTAGGTATTAACTTTTTTAAAGCTTTATAAAAACATAATTAACCCTCTGCTCTGAAAAGTTACTTTTCTTTCTTTCATTGTCAAAATATTGACTGATCATAGTTTTCCAAAATGTGGATCTGAATAAGATCCCTTGGTCTCCAGAAATGTCAGCCTGGGTTGTCCCGTACCATTCAGGAGGCCACTGTGGGAGTTTGCCCTTTGGATTGTTCTTAGTAGAAGTCTGGAATCTGAATAGCTCAACTACAATCGCATAGAATACTTTGCGTTGAATTATGTGGTCTTAATAAATTTAAAAAATCCTATTTCGATAGTTTCTAAAAGTTGAAAACCGTTGCGAGAGTTATTGAACAGATAGGGAAAGCAAGGATGTCATTTTATGGATTCAGTTGTACTTGGTTATTACTGGTGGTGTGTTGTTACTGAGCTGCCTTGGTATCAATTTGAAAAAAACAAGTCGATGTGACTAGAAACTGTGTTGGGAAAATGTTGCCATGGTAATTTTATTTTCTTATAATAGAATTTTCTATTTTTAATCAAACAAAATATCTGGATATGAAAGTTATATTGGCAGCATCCTCAGATGTAAACTTCAAAATTGTCTCTCAAAGTCATCATTGATCTTGCATCTGCATAATTTTCTGCATACCCAGCAGGTGAATTTTCAGGCTTTCTGGGAGATAATTTAGAAGAGATGGTAAAATAGCTTGCAAAGCCAAGGAGGGGAGAGAAATCCTTTTACATTAGAAGCAAATACACAAAAACGCTTTAAAAGTTGGTAAGAACAGCTTTCAGGTATATTGTTTTCTTTTCAAGCCGATGTGTTATTGGTGTTGCCATGTAGCCCTGTACCCCAGATGATCTGGGGGTCTGAGCCTGGGATCCACATTCAGTAAGTAGTAGAGAACAGTTCTTGAAGAGGAGTCCCTCCTGGTGAATGTTTCCTGCACTAGTGGAGATGTTATCCACACTTGGTTGAATGTGGTCTTAATTAATATCCCGATGGGGTTTGAGATTTACATTTGCAAACAAAAGGGAAAAGATGTACTAGACACACAGTACCAAATAATGACCACATAAACATTGTTTAACCGAAATTTAGCTAAAAGAAGCCTCAGCTCACTGGAGGAAGAGACTAATGATAGGAAAGAAGTTCTGGAGATTTCATCCAAGGGAAGTCCCAGGCTCAGGCTTGACTTGGTTCAGGCCTGGAGTTTTGTAACGCCCTGTGTCATCCTTGGTGCCAGAAATCTGGCTGCTCGTTGCACAAGTTTTCCTCACCCTACCATGGACTCACTGCTGGTCTATCTCCTGTGTTTCCCGGTGGTTAAATACTACCTGCCCTACTGACCTCACAGGGCTAGATCTGGGTATAGATGAAATAATGTTGACAACAAAACCTTAAAAGTACCTTCTGGTATCAGATGCTGCAAGATCTTGAGCATCAGAGTGTGTTATGTCCCATCCACTGCATCCGAGTGGGAATGGGGCTCAGTGCTCTTGGGCCGAGTTTCCCAACCAAGGGGCCTAAGCCCAAAAGGTTTCCCCTTCCCCAAGTATGCTAGTGAAGGAGACCTGGAGACTGTGGTTTTCTTTCCCCCAGGCTAGCATTACTGTGAAGAGGACCATTCCTGGGTTTCTTTTTTCTGGGTGGAGACAGTTGGAGCATATTTGGGTTGGTATTCCCTCTCGATACTAGAGGCCCCACTGCCTGCGGTGGGAGGACTGTCACCACGGGCTCCCGGATTTGCTTCTCAGTCTTGCACCCCTGTTATCTGTGAATCAAGGCCCAAAATTTTAAACTTCTTTAAGGAGTGGGAAAAGGGTGTTAGGAGGAGAGCTGAAATTATTAATCATGTTTTCTATCGACCTCACCTTGAGCTCCCTGTTCATTTCCTAGGCGCCCCCATTCTCCAGGTCTCCCCTGCCTCTTTCCACCTCTGCCCCATGCACTCCAGTCCTGGGGACAGAGGCCAAAATTGGAGTCTCTGGAGGGATGGGAAAGCCACCTTTAATTTTAATCGATAGGGTGGATACAGGCGCTTCAGAGAAGGAGCAGATGGCACTGAGGCCCACCCTCTCCCCCGTGCACCCCTAGGAGCTCCAACACACTTGGGAGTCGGGTCTCGGAGGGGAGTAGCACTTCAGTGGTCAGCCCTGCTCAGAGTCAAAGATGACAGCCAGCAGGGCCGGCTGTTTAGGGCACGGGAAGCAGGGGATAGGTGGGGAGCAGAGCTGAGGGCGCTCTGTCTGCTGGAAGACAGCAGCTGCCTCTTAGCATGTGAGGGCTGCATGCTGCATCTTCATCCAGGGCTGCCATTTGCTATTCCTTGGAGGAGTCGGCCACTCATTGTAACATGTAATATTGTAACTGTAACATGCAGGAGACGTGGCCCTTGGAGAACCTGCTGTTTGCACAGTGCAGTGCAGGTGAGGACCGGCAGGGATGGGAGTGTTTATGGCGACTAGATGTGCATGGCAAACCCCGGCTCTGACATTGCTCACATTCCAAACGTTCCTACACAGAATCCTGCCCTGGTACAGGGAAGCTCTACCTGTGCACTGTGAGTGTTAATGGTGGTGGGGGAAGAGAGAGTAGACGTGCCCTTGAGAGAGAAGGCGGGAGAAGGAGCGCACTGGTCAGCTGGCCAGAAGGCCTAGAGATCAGCTTGGCTCTTCCACCGGTTCTGTGCCACAGTGAGCAAGTCACTGCCCGTCGGCCCCAGTGTTCTCATCTGGGAAATGGTGATAACATCAACCTGCTCCGCTGGCATGCTGTCGTGAGGATAAAAGTGGCAGTGGAGGGGAATACTGGGTGAATCCATTGTTCATGTGCAGGAGAAGAAAGGCTTGGAGTTCACCCGATACAGGGAGGTTTTTCTGCATGCTTCAGGCAGCACAGCAGAGCCATGTCTTCTGGCCCTTACAAAAAAGGACATTTTATGATGCTGCGGTGTAAACCGCCTTATTCTACACTCCAGAAAGGTAGCAGTCTCCCTTTCTCCCCCTGGACCTGCCTCCTGCCTTCCTGGCACAGAGCCCTTGGTACCATTGGCATTGGGTTCTCCAGGATCCAGAGAGGCTGGTTCTGCTGGTTGGACCAAACCTCACTGTCCATCCCTGACCTGAATGAGGAGAGCTCTGATTCTCCTGTCTGGGAGCAGTGATGTCAAACTTCTGTTGCTGGGGAAACGTCTTTGGCTGGGAACCTGTGGAAAAGGGCTTGTCAGTAAAATCTGGGAATGGCCGGATATGGAAACATCTGCCCATGTGTACCCATGGCAGAGCTATTGCCCACAAGCGCCTTTTATTTAGGGTAAAATGATCAAATCCATTCTGTTCCTCTAACCTGATATGCTTGGTACATATGACCTTCTTTAACCCTTATGTGGTTCTGAAATTGCTTCAGAAGTGTTATTTAATGGATTATTCATATAACTTAACCCCCAGGATTCTATCTTGTTTAATGGACTTTTCTACTAAGAGAGTAAAAGATTGAGGCTGCTTTAGCCAGAGCAAAACCATTTACTTCATGTATTCATTCTGAATGCTTCCTGTCCGTGTTATACAAGCGTCTTACTGTTTCGTGTAATAACAAAGATCTATTTTGAGTAAATGATGGGTACATTTTAATAAACTTTCACGCAGTAGTAAAGCCTAAACTTGTGTTAATGTTTGTAAAGAATGTTGTATAGCCATTTATATACTATGTATATATAAATTAAATGAGGTGGCTTCAGAAGCGGGGGGAGAATAAATCTAAGGTGCTTATTAACTTGTGTGTGTGTATTTGTGTGAAAAGTTCTCAGTTATGGGTCCATTTTCCTAGATGGTATGATATGGGCCTGGCATAATGCGGCATTGGCCGGCGGGGGGTGGGGGGGGTGGCGCGGGACTAGGGGGTGGGTGGAGGTTGTTGAGAGAATTGAAATTCAGGTCCTCTTGTCCAAAGAGGTCGACAGGTGCAAGGGCTCCAAATAGTCTTCAGCACTAATCCCCAGTTTCTGGAATGCAGTCATCGGTCCAAGAAAGACCTTGAAAAAACCAAATTAGTTGCAGTGCCACCCTGGGGGCTGGGAGGTCTGCCTTCTATGCAGCCTCTGCCTCTGCCTGGCTGTGTACCCCTAGGCAGGCACTTTCCCTGCTCTGGGCTCCTGTCCATACTCAGGGTGATGAAGTTTTCATCTCCCAGGACCAGACTTGTCATGAAATGGCCACCAGGAGGCGTGGCTGCCAGCCACATTGTCAGGTTCCCAGCCCAGGGGACTGTGCTCTTCCGTAGAGCTCTTTCCTGTAGCAGCTGATAAAGTTCCCAGAAAGGAAACAAATTACCAACGTCTCCTGACCATGCTCTAAGCACATTGGGGAGCTTGCATGCTCCAAGCACATTGGGAAGCTTGCATGCTCCAAGCTTCTCTCCACCATCTGTCCTGAATGAAACTCTCTTGAAGGAGGGCAAAGACCTCCAAAATAAACATCTGAGTTATTGAGTTCTGGGATTTGGGAGTTGGCAGAGCCTTTAGATGTCATCTGGTTCAACCCTCTGGTTGCTCAGTTGGGGAAGTTGAGGCTTGTCCTAGGGAGCCAGGGACAATGTAGCCCAGATCTCTGTACCCTGGACTGGGTACTAGGTGCTGTCTACCACTTGGCAGTACCCACAAAGAATAAAGGGGGATCTTGGCCCATGAAGGGTGCCCTTTCTGTGCCAGGAGGGCTGGGTGCCAGCCCAGGCTGATGAATTGCCTTCCTTTTTCTTGAGCTCTACCTCCTGATGGGGCCAGGTAGCAGAAGTGCAGCCTGACAGCTGCCAAACATCCTTGAGCAGTGCCAGTGGAGGTCACAGTGAGGCTCAGAGAGAAGGGGGCCATAGCTGGCAGGGAGGCACTGCCTGGCTCTGCGGAGTCAGCTGTAAGATGTTGCTGAATTGGATGTGCAAGGCAAAACCTATAAAGTTCACTGAAGAACGTGAAGGAGAGTATCTTTGTGACCTGGAATATTAAAGTGCTTCTTAAATAAAAATATCACTGGCACAACCTTAAGCAAAACGATTGATGAATTTGATTACACACAAATAAGGATTTCATGGGCAAAGTTAAAAGACTGGGAGAAATTACTACGATGTCTGAAACCAATAAGGGATTAATATACAAGCAATTCCTCTAAATCAGCAAGAAAGCAACCTCAATAGAAAAATGAGCAGACAGTTTGCAGAAAAAAAAACCCTGCAAAGCTAATAAGCATATGGAGATTAAAATCATTAGAAATACAGAGAAATACATATTAAAACAACAATAAGCTATCACATTACGCCTATTATTTTGGCAAAACTTAGAAAGCTGGATGGCACCAAGTGTTGGAGTGAGCGTGGGAATATATGACTTTGCGCGGCCAGTCTGAAGAGCAAGGCTGTTATGGGCTGAAGTGTGTCCTCCCCAAATCCATGTGTTGAAGTCCTAACCCCTAGTACCTCAGAATGTGACATTTGGAGATGGGGTCTTTAAAGAGGTAAAATGAGGTCATATGGGTGGGCTCAATCCAATATGAGTGGTGTCCTTATAAGAAGAGATTAGGACATGTAGAGAGAGAAGACCGTGGGAAAGCACAGGGAAGGCAGCCATCTGCAAACCAAGGAGAGAGGCCTCAGAAGAAACCAACCCTGCCGACACTGTGATCTCTGACTTCCAGCCTCCAGAAATGTGTGAAAATAAGTTTCTGTTGTTTAATCTGCTCCGTCTCTGGTACTTTGCTAGGGTACTCTGGCCCTAGCAAACTAATAACAGTTACCTACCCAAATTTAGTGTGTACATACCTCGTGATGTGGACACTTCACTCCTGGTTATATGTCCCTGGGAAATTCTTCCACAGATCCTTAAGGGGACATGTATGAAGAGAAATGTTTACTGAAGCATTATTTGTTTTGGCAGAAAGCAATCTGTGTGTCTGTCACGGCCAGAGTGTGTAGGCTCACCATGGAGCACGATGCAGCAGGCAGAAGTACCAGATTTAGATGTAACAAAGCAGCATGGATGGATCTTCCAAAGGTAGAACTGAGTGAAAAATAACATTTATATGATTAGAAATATATGCACACAAAATGATAAAATATTTTGTAACAATATATTGAAAAAAGATACATGTTAAATACATTTGAATGGTTGCCTGCAAGGGGCCAGGACCATGGGAGTTCGGTATAGAGATAGTAAGGAATTAAAAAAAAAAAGACTTGCTGTAGTCAGCAGTCAGGTCTGAGAGCCCTGCGACAAGCAGGGGACATGCATTGTCCCTGGAGATCTTGCCCCGAGTGTGCCAGCCCTGACTGGACTTGATGAGGATGAGAAGGCCTGCCTCTGGAGGCTCTAAAGCCCCATATGCTGCCAGAGTGTTTGAGCCTCCAGGGCTTCTCCAGTGGGTGAGGGGAGTGGGCACTGAAGCCGAGGCCAGGGGCTATAATGGTCAGGGAGGGCTTCTGGAACCCATGTAGGAGGGGGAGGGGAAAAAGCAGAGAGGAGGGAACGCCAGACAGGAAAGCAGGTGGGTGGCAGCTGGCTGTAGCCACCGGGGACTTTCTACTTCCCAGATTCAGGCTGTCTGACCAGTAGTTTCCTGGCGGAGACTCTTTCCCACATGAGGCACTCAGCTGAAGGGCTCTCACGGGGAGAAGGAACACAGCTGCAGGGGGGGACAGAGGTGCCGGCAAGGCAAGGCCTTCCTCCCACCCCAGAAATAGCCTGTTCTGGCCCCAGAGCTGACTGTACAAGCCCGGGGAAGTGAAGCCACAGGGGACGGGGGCGGGAGGGGTGAAGGTGACCAGGACCACCATTGCCCTGAGGGCTTGTTTCAGGCATATTTTCTGAGGCCCGAGGGATCAGAGCAAGGACCAGGGGCAAGGAACACAGGGCCAACACTGGGATGAACTTTCTCACAGTGCTGTCCAGTAGGGCTTGGGGAGGTAGTGAGTGCTCACCTTGAAGGTGTGCAAGCAGAGATGGATGTGTCTGATGGGACCTTGGAACTCACTGTCCCCATCTCAAAGACATTGTCTCGTCCTGGGTGCTGGTGTCCGCGGGGACATCTGCCTGTCTCCCAGAGTGCCTCCTCCTGTAGTGTCCATCCCACGGGGCAAGCCAGACGCCAGTTGCAGGAAACAGCTTGTGCCAGCTCCCATTTGAAGAGTAAATATTAGTCTTTTCAAGAGCTGCCTGTTCTCTGTCACTCGGCACCGAGGACACTGAGCCGGGGGTGACCTCTTGGTCCCCATGCCCAGATGGAGTCTGTGGGCCCGGATCACTGCTGCAGTAGAGGGTCCTAGAAACAAGCCTCACCACGTCCAGGCGGGCATCCCCTCCCAGTCACCCGAGTCCCCGAGGCCCTGAGCCTCTATGCAGGAGAGAGTCAGATGGCACTGAGGCCCCAAATCCCCAGAATGTGGCTCTCCTCACACACTGGCCAGGCTGCTGCTACAGAGGCAGGGGACTGCATGTTTTGACCTGGACCTCAAGATCTCTGGGCCCCAGCTCTGACGTGTATGGTTTAAAATCCTCTGATTATCAGGAAGGGGAAATGACCTGCTCCTGCTCCACTGTCACCCCCTTAGGGAGGCCTCCTCTGACCGCCCCAACTAACAGCACCCCCTTACTCTAGCCCCTCATCCTGTTGTCTTTTTTCTGTATTTCTCTCCTTTATCCGACTCCGCCGTGAAAGGGTCAGCTCCGTGAGGGCAGGACCTCTGCCTTGGTCACTGCTGTGTCCTCCAACTGTGCGCACAGGAAGTGCTCAGTAACTATTTGCTGAATGAATATAATGACGTTAATACTTTGAAAATGTTAAACCAATATAATTCTCATCCTCTAACTGCTGAAATTGTATTCCTCTGAAGCCACTCCACCGTTATGCCCCTGACGAGGGGTTGAGGCAGGTGAGTGCCCTCTCAGGCAGAAGGAAGGGAGGCTGGAGGGGGAGGGAGGAAAGCCCACCGGCAGCTGGTGAGTGGTGGGAAGGAGAAGGGGAAGAATCTGTCACACAGGTGTCCGGGTCTCATCCTCTGGGATGAAATCTTGGGGGGAAGTAACTGAAAGCTGAAAACAGAGGGGGACGTGTGTCCCACTCTGCGTTTGGAAGACAGCCTGCGCCTCTTTGGTGGCCCTGCTGGGTAAAAATGGTGGAGCTATGGATTTGATGGCAAGAAGGTCTGAGTGAGCACCAGCAAGCCTCCCTCAGCTCCCAGTGGCCTGGAAGGGATCCAAAAGTTCCTGCATGCTCCACAGGGCATGAAGTAGGCGGCTGAGTTGGAACTGGTGGGCCTGTCACCGTGCTGCATGGTCTGTGGTGAGGTGAGCCCGCCACAGAGGCCATGGTGAGGGCAGCTCACACCCAAGGCTGGATGCAGGCATGGCGAGACTGGAGGGGTCTGAGGGGCCAGAGTGAGCCGAGGTGGGGCTGAGTCAACTGTGGCAGGCCCTGGGGCCCCACCAAGAGAACAGGCTATGAGTATCCCAGTCGCAGACTTCAGCCGCAGGGGCCAGTGAGTGTCTACGAAGACCCTGGCGCAGAGGGCAGCACAAGGACCTTTGTGTGAGGCTCCTTTTCTCTGCCACCAGGAGGCCATCTGTATGGGACCCTCTGCTTCATATCCTATTAACCTACCTTTGCCAGCTCCTACAGGAATAACCAGATAGTTCCTCACCTCAGCTGTACCACACAGCTATCACTTTCTGCCACCGAGTTCCTCTAAAGCTATGGTGTGGGATGCCTGCAAGAACCAGCTTGACACTCATGCATGCCAAGCCGGGAAGTATGAGGTCATTGACATGGGCAGACCTTGAGCGATAGATGGTGGGAGCCAGCGGTTAATGCTCTCCTGTCCCTCAGGAGGACGATTCAGGGGTGTGTTCTGCCCACTCCTCAGAGAGGCCCAGTGGAAAGGAGTGTCCGTTGCCACAGCAGTGACCAGCTCAATAACCCTCATTTCCCCACTTCCTTGTTTCACACTTCTCTGTTCTCCTTTCCTGTTTCCTGGTTGCAGGTCCTTGTCTCAGGCTTTAGGGTTTCTATTTTCTGGGGACTCAGGTTACAAGGCCACTTGAGCCTCTGTGCTAGAAATTATCTCTTGGCACTCGTTATCCCTCTCTGGCCCCTTCCGTAGTCCCCTGTGTTGCAGGGGCTGGAAGGCTAAAGACTACCTTTCCCAGACCCGTTGCTGCTGGGGATCTGGATGCAACTTAGGCTCTGCCAGAGGGAAGCACTGCGGGAGAGACTTCGAAGGCAGAAGGGAAGAGGAGGCCATTCTTCCTGCAGTGTGGTGGCTGATGGGTGGGATCTGGCAGACACGAGTTTTTGCAGTAGTAGGACACTGTGTTCCTTCCACTTTCCTGTCCCCAGCTTAATGGATGTGCAACTAGGACATGGGCAATAATTTCTTGCAAGGCGGCAGCTGGGGTGGTGTGACCATGAAGCATAGAAGTGTGCCCTAACTTCCATTTCTCCAACTCTTTCTATGTTTAATTTCCACATTAAATCTCTTTCTGCACAAAATACCTAGAGTGTTTTCTGTTTCCCGCACTGAACCATCACTGATTTGGCTTCCTCGCCTCCACCATATACTACACCACCAGGCTCAGGTGGAGGGAATCTGAAAGGCCACACATTTACCCAAATAGACATCCAAAAAGAGACTGCGAGTCAAACTCTATTGGTTGCCTACTCAACAGCCATCGCCACTTCTTCCTTTTCAGGTCAGCTTCCCTTCTGTAAGCCTGGTCTCTCTTGCAGCCAGGGCTTGGGTATGTGACCTAGTCCTGCCAAGGAGCCTGAGGAAAGTGTGCAGAAGGTGGGTTCTGGGATAGCTTATCTTCCCTGATAAAAGGAGACACACAGGAAACATTCTCCTCCCTGCCAGTGGATGGGCTTCTGTGAGAATATGATGCTTGGGGCAGTGACAGCCATCTTGCAATTGTGAGAGGGTAAGTCTGCAGATGAAAGTTCACATACCGAGGATGGTAGAGTGGACAGAGAGAAAATACCTAGGTCTATGAAGACATCGTTGAGCCACTGCATTAACCCTGGAGCTGCCTGCTTCTAGTGGGCATCACTCTGGTAGGACCCTTTCCCTCTGAGCCCCATAGAGGCCGATTCAGAGCTCTTCAAAGCTTTTTCCAGGCCAATATGCTGGGGCTCAGGGATGCTGGGACCTCTGGGAGCTGGGCTGGGACTAGGGTGAGGCAAGTGAGGCACTTGCCTTGGGTGCAAAATTTAAGGAGGTGGCAAAAAAACTCAGTAATCAGGATAAATAATATTTTAACGAAATATTAAAAAAAATTAAAACTAATGCAAAAAATACACAATTAAAAAAAATCAAGATTTTTAAATAAAGAGACTAAAGAATTAGTGTCGCCAACTAGGTCTCTACTTGTTTCCACACAGGGCACTCCCAATGAACCACACCTGTGGCAATCCGTATAATGAAGCAGGACTCTGAGTTTGAGAACTGGGTTCAAGCCTGGGTTCTACCAATGATTTGCTGGTGATCCCAAGCAAATCCCTTCCCTTCTCTAGATTTTGGTTACCCCGTCTGTCCTGCATGGGGGCTGGGGTATTGCCAGGATGGCCTCCTGACCCGTCCTCCTCATCCCCATGGCCTGCCGAGGTTATTGTCCCTCTTCCTGGGAGGCTGTGTCTCCAGGGCCATCGAATCCTGGCTATTAATATCTTGGCCATCCCTGGCCTGATCAGGGTGTTTAATGACTGCCAGCTGTGGCTCCGGCCCCCTCCCCCAGGAGAGATAAGAGCAGTTCCTGTTCCCACATGGGGGGAGGTGGGGGGAGGCAGGGTCACTGCTCATTAAAACAGGCCCTGGGTGAATGGTGGGAATGGAGGAGCTGACACTGACTCCTCACCCCACCCTGGCCCAGCACGCCAGATGGAGGTGCCTGGAGATACAGACTTCCTGTGCACCCCTCCCTCATGGGGGGCTGTCTTGGTCTCTCTACCCTCTGCCTGGGCCTTATATGTATATATATATTTTTTTTTTGGTGAGGAAGACCAGCCCTGAGCTAACATCTGTCGCCAATCTTCCTCTTTTTTCTGAGGGAGATTGGCCCTGGGCTAACATCTGTGCCCATCTTCCTCTACTTTATATGGGACGCCGCCACAGCATGGCTTGACAAGCGGTGTGTCGGTGTGCGCCCGGGATCCGAAACTGTGAGCCCCAGGCCGCCAAAGCAGAGCACGCACACTTAACCACTGTGCCACCGGGCCGGCACCCTCTGCCTGGGCCTTGGACTTGTCACTTTAAATCTCCCTTTCAATAGCCTGGGGGCTTCTCCCCAGATGTCCCACAGACATTACATTCAGCATGTCCCAAATCAGGTCATCATGTCCCCAAACCCTCTCCTCCTCCTCCCTTACCTGGATGATGGACTGGCAGCTTTTCCTAGGCCTGCCCCTGGGGCCCTTCTCAGCAGCCAGAATGGCCTGCCCCAAACCCACCCTCATCCCCTTAGCCTCATTTAAGAAACCTTTCCTGGTTCCTGCTGCAAAGGGCCCCAGGCACTTGCTCACCTGGATTCAGGTGTCCCTGGCACCTGTCCTGCACCCTTGGGACCCAGAGACCCCTACCTAGTCCTCAGAGACTACCCCGATGTCTCCTCGCCTGGGAAGCTGCTCCCTATCCATTCTGCTGGCAGACTGGCTGCCCTCCTTGGGCAGCCTGGGCTCCGGAGTGGCAGGAATCAACCATGTGGTGGCCTCTGTCATCGACTCAATGGTGGTCCTCTGTGCCAGGATGGTGGGGGCCTCCTTGCCCTTGTGTTTCCAGGAGGTGCCCAGCTGAGTGAACCGGGCTTTGCCCTCAGGGACTGGGGTCAGGGCTCGGTTGAGGGCCAGGGCCTAGCCTCTGGCCAACCAGAGTCCTGGCTCTACCTGGGGTCACAGCTGGGTCTGGAGCAGGGATCACTGTGTGCCACAGAGGTCAAGGGCCTGGGTCTGAGTCTTAATCCCAGGCTGCCCTGGGGTCACCAGTCCTGTTGCCTCACCATGTCCTCCCTTTTGTATCTTGCTCTGAAATGGAGCTGAAGAGAGAAGCCTGCCCTCTGTGTCACTTGGCCTCCTGGGGAGGGGCCTGCACCCAGTTGTTTGGGGCCCTAAGGCCAACCTTGGTGAAGTCCTTGAGGTATCCACCAGGTGGCGATAGAGATGAGCTGGTATAGCCTGACAATTGCCCTACAAGGCAGGAGAGGGATGTGGGGAGCTGGAGGGAGGAGGGGTGCAGGAGAAATCCTGCTCATGGTCACCCCCACTCCACCCCCACTCCATAGGCAGCCTGGGATATCTGCTCATGGCCTCTGCTGGCCCAAGGCAGTGTTTCGGCTTCTCCCCATTCATGAATGCCCACCACTGGGCTTTTCACCTCCTGCCACCTCTCAGGGCAGGGCCCCACCTATGTCCTCTCTTTTCTTGCCCGTGTCTTGGGTCTCTTTGTGTTTCATTTACTTTCCACCCTCCTGGCTGATAACTCTGCTCCTCTCTCCAGGGCTCTCTCCTTACCCTGAAGCCATGACTCACTAATGGTGGGATTTCAGGCACTGTGGTGGATGGGCCGGGTCCAGCTTGGTCTGGGGGCCCCTCCTGGCCTTCACACCCTCAGGCAGCCCATAGGGTTCCTGGTCTGGAAGGCAGGGTGCTGCCTTTCCTCTGCAAACACCTTGCTTCTAGGATTTGTTGGCTCCTCCCATTTCTGTTACTCCTCCTCCTCGCCCCCTCTTCTACCAGCCTGGGCTCATCCCTCAGTTCCCTGACCTTGTTCTCTGCACAGCCTCCATTCTCTGTGTATCCCTCAGCCCCCAGACTGCTTGGGGCTCCCCCTCCAGTTGCTATCCTCCTCCTGAGCCCAGAGGACAGAGCAGGTGGCAGAAGGCTCTGGACTGCCCCCTCCTTGTTAGCCACTCATGCCTTCGCCAGGAGGTAAGCTAAGCCATCCAGCACTCTCCCCTATTGTGCAGTGGAGAAACTGAGGCCCAGAGAGAGACAGAGACCTGCTCATGACCTCTGAGAAAGTCTGAATCAAAATTGGTACTAAAAGTCTAGGGCTGGGTCTTCTGGACCTTAGTGAGGTCTTCTGGACCTTACTTGTGGGCCAGGTCTCTGCAACCAGTTCAGGGAGGCATCGAGTAGGGAAGGGGAGGAGGGAAACCAAAGCAGTGAGTGACATGCCCCAGCTGGGTGAGAGGAGCATGGACTTATTGCCTGTTCCCTATCTCTCATCCTCCATGCCTTGAAGTAGTAAGTAGGCGCGAGTTCAGGGAAGAATGAAACAAGTCCAAGGTGCCCAAATGCCCCAGCCCGGCTCTCCACCACGAACACCTCATTGGTGGTCACCACTGTTGGCCTGGGCAGGGGGTAGGGAGGGAGAGTGCTGAGAATGCTCTCTCCGGCAGGCCGGGAGTACCTGAAGTCACAGCTAGGGGCACCGCCACCCTCTCTGTCCAACAGCTGATGTGCACAGGGCAGGCATGGAGTGTGAATCTACATGGAGAGAGTTTGCCACTCCTGGATATGCTGGACCACTGATCAAAGGGTATTTGCCTGGGGCTGCCCTTGCCCTAGGTTAACAGTCACTCATTCTGGCCTCACCACCCCTGACTTGGGCCTCTGCAGGGTGCTGGCTGGGGACTGTCATTTGGTGATGGGTCCTGGGATAGTACTGAGTAGGACAAGGCTTTGAAGGAGCCTTGCAGGCAGATCTGATTTGCCAGCCCATGCTGGCCTCTTTTTACCAGCTTGGCATCCCTCTCCTGCTCCTGCAGCAAGACAAGCTCCTTGCAGGTTTGTAGGAAGTGCAAGTCAAGGAGCACAGCTCAGGCCATGGCTTTGGAGACATCTCTTGCTGCCTGACCTCATCGACTTCACCATACAGCCTCTGCGTCTAAACTTTTCTATGAGTTGTATTCGATCTGCTCACTCACTTGTTTTGGTGACATTTATTCTGTCCTCTATCCATCTCCTCCTGTCTGAACCCTGGGCCATGGCAACACAGTCATCTCATACCCTATGTGCTCCTTGTCTACAGGAATGACTGTGGCCTGTGAAATGCTCACACTTAACCATTTATGGGACCGCAGGCAGCTCTGTCAGCTGTTTTGTATTGATCCAAGAATAGAACTGTCCCCTCTTTGCTGGATTTAGGGGGTATGGGGACACAGTGAGGACCTGGTATAATGTCATCACACTCAGAAGATAGAGGATACCACTCAACGAGATATGAGTTGAAGGCCCTTAGAAGTGTGTGCTCCTCACATGGAAATGTAAGATTCCCATCCAAAGCCAGAAGGGTGGTGGCATCTGGCTTCAGTGATGTTTGCAACCACCCCAAATGGGGGGAGACGGCCGCAAGTTGGAAGCTGGTCCCCATTTTAGGCCACACGGAAACATCAACCACCAGGGAAACCAAGCCACTCCAACTCAACATTCATTGTTGCCTGAGCCTGGTGGCAGTCCTGGGGGATCTTCTGGCTGGGGCATGGGCTGGAAGCCATGTGGCCACAGGCGTGCAAGGTAGGCGCAGGATGCTACAACCACCAGGCTCTTGTCCAGATGATACACAGGCCAGTGGACTTCTCAGCCACACTCCAGGGAGGGTCAGGTGGGAATGGGGTTGCAGGGATGGTCGTAATACAGTAGTCCCTCTTCATCTGTGGAGCATACGTCCCAAGACCCCCAATGGATGCCTGAAACCACAGATAATACTGAACCCTATACTATGTTTTTTCCTATACACACATACCTATGATAAAGTTTACTTCATAAATTAGGCACAGTAAGAGATTAACAACAGTAACTAATAATAAAATAGAACAATTATAACAATATACTGTAATAAAAGTTATGTGAATGTGGTCTCTCTCTCTCAAAATATCTTATTGTACTGTACCCATCCTTCTTCTTATGATGATATGAGATGATAAAATGCCTACATGATGAGATGAAGTGAGGTGAATGATGTAGGGCATTGTGACATAGCGTGCCAGGCAGGACGGAGCAGGAGGGAGTGAGATTTCATCACACTACTCAGAAAAGCATATAATTTAACACTTATGAATTGTTTATTTCTAGAATTTTCCATTTAATATTTTTGGGCAGAAGTTGACCTAGAATAACTGAAACTATGGAAAGTGAAACCGTGAATAAGGGTGGACTACTGTAATAATCAGCAGTGATACAAATAACCAAGAGGATCCAGCTTGTTACAATACATAAAAGGCAGCAGTTAAGAGTCTGTGCTTTCACTTTCCCACCAGCCAGATCTGAGTTCAAATCCTCCTGTGTGACATGGAGTGGCACCTGGTCTCTTGGAGTGATCTGTGAAAAAGAGATCCCACCTTGCTGGGTTGATGTGAGGAATAAGGGGCCTATGAGTGCACATCTCTGAGCCTGGTTCCAATAGCTGGCACACAGGTGGGTAGCCAAGGGCAGCTCCCACAGCCCATAGGGAGGTAGGGCTAGTGGCAGCCTCCTTGAATTGTTCTGGCCATCCTGGGGCCATTCCACTTGAAAATAGCTGTGCTTCCCAAACTAAAGCTCCGTATCACAACCTCGAAGAGCTGGCAGCTAAGAGGAGGGCACTGGGGCGCGGAGACTGCATCTTCGGAGAGATGCCTGAATGGCAATGCTTAACCCAAAGGAACTTGACGGCAATGGTGGAACTTCAGGCACTGTCTAGGTGGTGGTGGCGCGTGACCTTTCGGGGCAAGACCTTTGTCCCTTCAGATCACACCTTGTTCCCGCATTGTTTGGGGATGCGCGGTTGCCTTCCTCCCCTGGGTCAGGAGAGCTACCAGAGGACGGAGTCAGGTGAGAGTATGCGGACGTCTTGCCCTTGATTGGCGGAGGAGGCCTTTAGAGGAGGAGTCTGATGACTGAGCTCCACCCCACATCCTCCACGGTAGGAGCTCCCAGCGCTCCAACTTGCAGAGAACCAGCTCCCCGATCTATGCACCCTCCTTTCCCCAGGCAGGCGCAAGGGCAGCGTTCTCCAGGGGCGTCTGGACAGTGACCTGGGGGTCTGGGCAGCCTCCGAGCCCAGGGTTGGGGCTGGCCTCGCCCGGGCAGACCTCTGCCCCCGGTGCCGCCCGGAGTGGGGGTGCGGGCGGGAGGGGCCGCCCTGGGCCCCTGGCGCCTGGAGGTCACACCAGGGAGACTTCGGCCTGGAAGCTGGAGGAGCGGCGCGCGCCCGGGCTGACGCGGGTCAGCATGGAGACCTGCGTGCTGCATGTGGCCCCGTTGCTGCCTCCTGACGGGTGGTGGTATTTGGGGTCCGAGCCCAAGACGCCCTGCAGGTGCCAGCGCCGCCACTTCCGCCGCAGCTCCGCCTGCACCTGGGAGAAGGAGAGGTGGTCAGGCCCGCCCCCACGAAGCCTCCTCCACTGCTGATTAGGCTGCTCTCGATGTAGGGTGCTAAGCCAGCCAGTCATATCCTATTGGGGAATCTAAATTGAGAGATCCGGATGCTACCTTGGGCGGTGCACATTTGGGACCGTGTAGGGGCCAGGGTCAAATAAAGGCCATGAAGTGGGGGGAAGTGGGAGGCAGAGATCAGAGAATGCAGTCCAGGAAGGGAGAGGGATGCTGCCTGGGGTGGCTGTGTCCCCATTTTTCTGATCTCTGCCCTCCAGCTCACTTGAGCTCATCCAAGTGGATTTCTGTCTCTGTAACCAGGGCTCCACAGTAACTCAGCCTTCACTCGCTGCCCCTACCCATCCCAACTCACTCTACACACAGCCACTAACATAGCCACTTCTCAAACTCTGATGTGCACAAGGATCCCCTGGGGGGTTTTCTTGAAATGCAGATTTTAAGTCAGCAGGTCTGGGGTGGGCCCAGAAATCAGCATTTTTAACAATGTCCTAGGTGCCACCAGATTTACTAGTCTGAGGACCACACTTGGAGTAGCAAGGTTTAATCCATCCTTGCTCTGCACATAACCCCATCAGTGTTTCTGTTCCCTGGCCCCCAAGGTCTGGGAGGGGCTTACCTCGCCATTGAGGAAGCAGTAGAGGATGGCCACCACAAAACCCTAGTGAGGAAGTGGGCAGGAGAGGTGAGGCAGACAGACCCAGGGAGCCCCCAGCCCTGCCCCACCCCTGGCCCTGGCCCTGGTGTTCCCCTGGTTAAGCAAAGGGTTAAGCACACAGTAGATACCTAATCAATATTTATTACAAAAGATTGGAACCCAATGGCAAGAGACCAAGGCTCCAGGCTGAATTCCCTTAAAGCCCAGAGGAGAACATAGCCTTAAGTCAACAGTTCATACCTGGAAAGACCCCACGACGAGCTCAAAGACCATTTTCACTTCAGCCTTAAAGTTGTCGGGGAAGAAGGCGAACATGATGTAGTGCACTCCAAACAGGGGGATCAGCAGAAGGGTGGACTTGGCCAGCCTCCTGGGGATGGGGACAGGGGAGGCAGTGGGTGTGTGTGTCCACACATGTGCCTCTGGCGTAGAGGCAGCTGGGGCACAGAAGATGGGGACAACGACCAGGATGTGTGAGGATGGACGGTTGGCTCCCACAAATATTACGTCCACATCTGCTCCTGTCCCATATCTGCAGTGCCTATACCCTCATGCCCCCTGGCCCTCCTAGCCTGGAGGGAAGGATGAGGGAGAAAGAAACCCTGTATTCTCACCCTTCTGGAGGAGAGAGTATAAAGGAGGGCCAGTGCTGAACCCCGAGGATGATGCATAATAGTGGTATTTCAGGCTCTATGGCAGCTAATGGGGAGATGTTCTCGAGCAACCAGGATCTCGAGGTCCTGGTTTTCCTTCTCCTGGTCTCAGTTTCCCAGATCTGTACAATGGGATGTAGGTAAGCTCAACATGGTCAAATTACAGAAATGGGGCCCACTGTAAACTCAGAAGTGCTTTGGGTACTATAAAGGGCAGTACATCCACGAAAGACCAATTCTGCACTGGGAGTGATGGCATTTAGGAAGGAAGTCTTTCTAATCGGGGTGCTGACCACATATACCCAAGGCCACTTGGGAGGATGGTGGGTGCAAAAGTTTGTGCCTGGTCACCAAGGATGACCCAGGGTCTACTAATAGTCCAGCCCGCTGTCTTGGGCATATCTGCTGTGTCCACTTTTCCAGGAGTTATCACCTTTTCTGGGATTGCATCCCTCTCCCCCTTCCTCTCCATAGCAATACACACACTCCCAGCATACCCTGAAGGACCAGTTCCTTCTCCACCAGCCTTGTGTGCTTGGCAGGGTCCACATTCGCTCTAAAGGACTCGCCCCTCTCCCATGCAGCAGGGCTTATCCTGGTTCAGGCCTCCCAGCCACCTGACCTTATAGCTGGTCCAGGTGTGTGAGCCCATGCTTCCCTGGCTGGGAGAGGTCTGAGGGGTGGGGTCGGGGGGTCTCTGCCTCTATCTCTCCTGCCTTGGCAGTCAGCCCAGGGAAGCCTAGCTTTGGGCCTAAAGTCCCACAGCAAATTGGGGTCAGAGAAGCTGGCCTTGCCCCTCCTACTCCTTCCTGGACCCGGTTCCCAGCCATGCCAAAATCCTGAGCGCTGCCCACCTCTCCTTGGCTGCAAACCTATCCCAGTCGCCCGAGGCTGACAGATGGAGGCTTTCTTTAAATTGAAGGCTTATGGGGATGTGGAGAGTGGGAGCTGACAGCCCCTCCGCAGGATGTTCCATCTCCTACTCCCCGCCCCCACTTCTGCCTGCTGACAGCTGTTCCGTTTCCATCTCACTTACGTGGACCTGGCGATGACCAGCTCTCTTTGCCTCAGATTCAAGCCCTTTTGAGTAGTTGTACATTGGGGGAAACAAGGCCCCACAGGCAAAGTGGAAGATGAGAGCACACAGGCCTGATGTGCTGCCCCTTGACAGACTGCAGAGCCCCGCAGAGCCTTCCCATCTCAAACTGGAAGGGAAGCTCCGCCTACACACCCAGCAGGAGAGAATGCTGTCATACCAGGAACGTGAGTCTTAGTTTCATCAGAGAGAATCACAGGATTCCAGAATAGAATCCTAAATCCAGCAGCTCGTGACATTCTAGCCAGGAATCTTAGAACCACAGCAAAGACTCCCCAGAGAGAAGCTAGGTCAAGAAGAACATTCTAGAATCCCAGGACTGGAAGGCCCTTGTGGGAGCCCCAGGTTTGTCTTGTCTGTGCAGCACTGATCATCACTCTCCTGTCCCCATCTGTGGGCATGCAGACCCCTACTCACCTTCCCACAGCCACCCTTTTCATGTCTCTTTAGTTCTGTCTTCAAGCCTTGCTGTCTCATGAAACCCTGCCTGTTTCTCCTGTCCTCTGGAGCACAGGGAGCAGCGCTCACACCTTTCCAAACAAGGAGCACGACCACTGTCCCATGGATGCTGTGCCCTCCCCCTGCCATGGCGATGTGCTCCCAAACCCCTTTGGGAGGAGGAGGGGTGCGTGTCAGTTTCCTCACCTGTAAAATGGGGACAATTTTGGGGGGACTGTGTGGATGAAATGAGATGATGCATGGAAACCCCTTAGCATATGCCTGGCATGTAAACTGCAGATGTTATTATTATTATTGGGGAGTACCAAGTCCTGGATATAGCTGTCTTGTTGGTAGACTGGGGGATCCCCCAGGGCATTCATTTACTGTGCATTTATCGTGCCCTGTTCCTGTGCCAGGCACATGGTGTGAACAAGACACAGGTTATCTACTGTCTTCTCGAGCAACCTGCCTTGGCAGCAGATACACACATGGGTCAGATCTCCTGCTAGGTGAGTGACTGCAGGAGAAGCAGACATGGGGCTCACGAGCCTGGTGCAGGTGGGGCTGGGGCAGGGGACACTCGTGGGCTGAGCCTGGCCATGGGGGTGGAGGTGGGCAAGAGCAAGGTGGCTTTTTGGTGACTCTGGAGGGGGACTTCAAGAGGATATGGGATGGTTTGAGGACTACGGATGGGGATACTGGGAGGGCCAGGGTACTGGACCCACACTCACGAATATGGGCTGCTGTCACTCTTCCCGACATCTGGGGGCCGCAGTTTCTGAACCAGGATTCGGATGATGCGTATAAATAGGATGAAGTTCACCTGGAGGGTGGGGGCCAAGGTCAGGTGGTCAGAGAGGGGAGGCAGGGTGTCCAGCCCCCTGGGCTGATGGCCTGCCTTCTTCCCCGGGGCCCTGCTGCCCTTCGATCTTACCTCTCCCCTAGCTCTTCCCCTTTGGACAGGTCACCTGGGAACTCTACTTCACATCCCTGAGGATTGGGCCTCCCAATCCGTTTTCTCTACTCTAGAGGAAGAACTGGTGGGAGAAGGGATGGGGATGATCCTGCGTTGGGCATTGGGAAGCCTAGCTTTCAGTTCTGAGCTAGACGCGAATTTCCTGTGGGACCTGAGGTAAATTGTCTACCCTATGTGGGCCTCAGTTTCCCCATCTCTGAGTGGTGGGAGGAGGCCTTACCAAGATGGAGGTGAGGATGGGGGCCTTTATGATCCACCACAATGAGGAGTTGATGGTGTCCCAGCATCTGGGCAGGGTATGGTGGGGGAGAATGAGAGAGGTTGTCCTCAGCCAGAGGGAGTCAGTGGTCCTCCCAGTTGTTCCCGGCTCTGCCCTCTAACCCTTTAGAGATCACAGGCCCAGAGTCTGTTGCTCCCATGTCCCCCTCATTCCACCCAGGGGATCTGCCCCCAGTGATGGCAGCCAGGAGGAGGGAGTGGCGTGATAGCTCACCCATAATCCTCAAAATGGATCCTGATGATGGTCCACACCATGATGAATGTGCTGGGCACCCCTGTTACGGCCAAAGGAGAGAAAAAGAGAGGAGACGGCAGGAGAGGCAGGGATAGAGGGCATGGGGGAGAGATTGAGGAGAAAGAGCCAGAGAGAGGGAGGGAGAGAGAAAAGGGTGGGTTTCCAGCTGCCACCTATGGTTGCATAGGTTGTTCATTGTGCAAAGATGCTCCACTGAGGGGGTGAAACTGTATGCCTGAGAGGCTGTGTCCACCTAAAGGGAGAGTCTTTTTCTAATTTTGGTAGAGGTAATTCATAGATTAGCAGTGGCCCTATGTGTTTCAAGGGCTGAAGGGCAAATGGAAGGATGTTGGTAGAAACTGTCTGTCCCACAGATCAGCCCTAGGTATAGCTGCAGCCTGAGGGCACCTGCCCTGGGGTCAGACATTGGGGCAACTTTTATCAACCCTTGGCTGAGAGCCTTGCAGGCAGGACCTGCAGCCCAGCAAGACCTAAGACTGCAGGCTGGGCTGGCACCCGCCCCCTAGTGAGCTCCCCAGGCCTTGTGCCCCCTGTCCCCAGCCTGGCAGCCCTCCCTGGTACCATACCCCAGCCGATGAGTATGTACCCCCAGAAGTATTTCCGCTCGGAGAAGAAGGAGACGGCCAGCAGGGTGTGCAGGTAGAGGCCCTCCACCAGCAGCCAGAAGAAGTTGGCCATGACACAGTACTGGAACAAGACCACGGCTGCCTTACAACCCACCTGCAGGAGGAGGAACGGAGAGGGGGCTCACTGGGGCTAGCAGGGGTCCCTGCCTGCCCACATCTCTGTCTGGGGTGACAAACAGGGTTGTGGTGCAGCCAACTTAATCTCTGTTATTTTTGCATTATCACCTTAAAAATGTACTCAGTCGTTTTCCCATTTTCCCTGATTTTAGATCATCTGATGCTTTGGAATAAGCTTGCGATTTTAATTATCCATCCATCAATTTATCATCTATTCATCTTCCTATCTATATATTTATCCACACACCTACCCATCTGATCATCCACCTACCTACCTATCCATTTATTCATTTATTTACCCACCCACTCCTTAGACATCCACTACCAACTCACCCATCTATCCATCTACCATCCTTCATCTATTCATCTTCCCATCTATCAATCCATCCACACACTCACCTATCTCTCCATTCATCTTACCTTCTAACATCTACCACCAACCCACACACCTAGCCATCTATCCATCCATTCCTCTATCCATCTGTCCATCAATCTGCTCACCCATCCTTCTACACCCACTCACTCCTCTACTCATCATCTATCCAATTTTTCTCATTTTATCCATCTATCCCTCCACCTACTCAGCCATCCATCTACCTACCCATCCACTTAACCCCATCTCCCCATTCGTCTTATTCCAGTTAGGATTGAAGGCAGCTGGAAGACGTACGAGGGAGAATTCTTGCTTGTTTGCAAGAGTCACTTGAATGTGTCGGGGTGTGGGCTGTGGACTGTAGAGTGTGGCCCAGATGGAAGTGTTGAAGAGAGACAGGCACTGATAAGAGGGAAGAGGAAGGAGAAATAGAAATGAGGGAAAAAAGGAGAGGAGAGAGATGGCCATTCTTCCTGGGAGCCAGAGAAACTAGCAGAAGAATGGGTTCACCAGGCAGGTAAGGACAATGGAGGAGTCAGGGAGACCCCTGAGTAGGGCAATCAGGGGTTCTGGGCGGCCCACTTGGCATCATTAGGTTGTCTGGGCCCTCTGTCCTCTCCCATTTCAGATCAAACCCAGATACCTGTGACCCAGAGCTTAAAGTCACCCTCCTCCAGGAAGCCTTCCAGCTTCCCCTCCTCCCTGTACCCAGAACACAGGTTCCCACCCTTCCTTCCTGTGCCCTTGACTTTGAGACATCCTCAGAGAGCAGCGCCTATCCTCCTCTCCCTGTGGCTGGCAAGTCCTTCCTCAGGTCCCACTTCAGTCCCCCTAGCTGTAGGCATGCCTGTTTCCCCCATCCTCCTTTGCTGTACAGCAGGGGTAACTCAGCTCTGTAACGGGACAATTATCTGTGCTTCTCTTTGCCTTAGAAAAGCTTCACAGAGCTGCTAATGAGTCGGGAAGCCAGTCTCCACAATTATCTTTAACAAGTGCGCTGGAGGCTGCAGGCTGCTCCCAAGCTCTGCGGCTCACACTGCGCAGGTCTGACTCAGCGCCAGCTCCTGGGCGGGACCCTCTGAGGAGCTCTGGGAACAGTCGGGGGGATCCTCTGGGTTTTCTCTCCCTCTTGTTGAGATGCCTGAGATTCCACCATTCTAGGTTCACTCTCTGGGGAGAAGGTACTGATGACCCCTGAAATAATGCACTGCTTCCGTGGTCACTCATGAGGCAATGAGTCACTAACCGCGAGGAATGGCTGGGAGCCAGGGCTGGTCTCGTGCTCTCTGTCCTAGCTCGGGGGCACTCAAGGAGGGGGCCCTGAGCTCAGAATCACCTGGAGATGGACCCCTTAGTGCTGAATGATGAATTCTTTAAACGCTCTCTTAACCTCTCTTCCCTAAGGTGGCCCAGAACTGACTGAAGGCAGGGGAAGAACAGAAGGGGAGGGCTGTGTGCCTTTGGACTGGCTCCAGATGGCAAGGGGGGAAAGTAGGAAGGGTGACAAGGTGAGCCAAGCCTAGGTATGCAGATGGCAGAGGGCAGAGTTGGAAGGAAGCCTGGAAGTCCTTGCACAGATGGAGAAATTGAGGCAGGGAGTTCCCAAAGGTCACATGGGAAGTTAGCAAGAAAGGTAGGATGGGGCTGTGGGCTTTGGCCATGAAGTAAACCATTTCCCGCAAGGAGAGGCATTTCTCATTGGCAGGAGCAGGGTCTGTGAACTCCCAGGTGGTTGAGCACCACCTCCTGTTGCTGGGAGGGGGTGGGATTCAAGCAGCTGCCAAGTGGGGTTGATGGGGTTTCGCCATCCTTGGAGAGAGACAGAGAAAAAAGGAGAGAGAGACAGGGAGACAGAGAGAGGGAAGGGGAAACGAGAAAGTGAGGAGAGAGGAGGGAGAAGGAGATTCAGGTAGGAGAAGAGGAAGGAGAGACAGAGGGAGGTGGGCCTGGGCGGGGTCCTCACCGAGCCCTCAGAGCAGTGATCCGACTCCCCGCTGTGGAAGAGGGCCAAGTCTTTGATGAAGACCGCGGCAGCCCTCAGGATGAAGGATATGAAGAGGTGCATGTGGATGTAGTTCCGCGTGCAGTGGAGTTTCCTGTGTGAGGCAGGCAGCCAGATCTGGGAGGCGGAAGGGGCCTCCTGCCCCCACCCCAACCAACACTGTCCAGTGCTCCGAGCAAGGGTAGGGCAGGGGGAGCATGTGGCCTCCAAGTGCAGGCCGTGCCCCGAAGAGGAGGTCCTGCTCCTGGGCATCCCATCCCCGTGTGCAGCTCCCAGCTCCCAGTCTGGCCTCCAGGTGCCTCATTCCAGAGCACAGGCCCACCCTCTGGTGCCTCATTCCCAGGTGCAGGGCCATCCTGTGGGGGCCTAGGGTGCGACAGGTGGAATACTCTGAGCAACCTGCTGTCTCTAGGGGAGGCTGGCTTGGCAAGGGGCCTGGGGCAAGGACTGTGTGCTGCCCGGGGGATGACAGTGGAAGGGGGCAGAGCATGCCTGGGCCAGGCTGGGCTTCAGCACGGCAGTGACCTGGCAGGGCTGCTTTGATGCCTGTTGCTGGGGCTGGACCTCACCTGAACAGGCTCAAGATGGCTGTGGCGACCAGAAGGGCAGCGAGGGACAGGCTGTAGCCGATGGTGTAGCCGGTCTTCACAGAATTGTAGAACACTGTCTGCTGCTGCTAGAGGGAGGTGGGTGAGGATCCCGGGTAGGGGATGAGATGGGCTCACCTAGGGGGTGTTGGCAGAGGCGGGATGCCCTACACACCCTGCCTCCCATCCCTGCCTTGGCAGATGAGGAGGCTGAGGCCCAAGGCTCCCAAGAGCAGCTGAGCAGCCCCCTTCGGTCCCCAGACCCCTTGACCCCCCAGTTTCCACACACGGGACAGGACTGCTTCCCAGGGTGGGGGCAGGGGTTGAATCAACCCCCTCTCTCTGCTTCTTCATGAGGGAAACAGTGAGGGAAGGAGCAAAGACCTCACAGTTTCTATTTGTCCATTTGTTCATTCTTCAGTCATGTGTCTGCACCCCTTCTGTGCCAACCCTGGGCTCAGCATCCTAGGGGACCAAGACTGCTTGCCCTTCAGACCCCGACAGGAGGGTCCCTTGCCGTGTGGTTAGGGGAGGCACACAGGGAATGGAGAAGGGTAAAGAAGACACTGGGGGTAATTTCCCATTTGGGGCTCTCATCAGCAGGATGAGGGCAATCTGGCCTTTCTGGGGAGGCAGGACAAAGCTGGAACCAAGGGCTTCCTGCTGGCCCCCTCCGGATGCCCTCCCCAGGGACACACACACAGAGCAACGGTCACTGGGCAGGCCCCTCGTTCCTCTCTACCTCCCATGCCCTGCTGGAAGAGAGGCAAGTGGTGAAGCAGGATTTAGGGGATTAGGTTCTGCCTGAGGATCTATCTGGTGGGCTCTGAAGGCCTCTGAGGCAATGCCTGCCCTCTTGAGAGGAGTGAAAGCCCTGTCTGAGAGGGGTGGCTGGGGGTGGGACAGGAGTCGTCTCAGACAGACACACACACACGTGCATTCGCACACCAAAGCAGTGAGGGGCTCCAGCTGAGGACTCCAATTACACTCCAGCCTCCCCATCAGTATCCCTACCTGGCTTCTGGCCCCACATCCTTACAGTGACCACCTATGCTTCACCTGCTTTGGGGCAGATCCCTGTCCTGGGGCTGAGGACCTGCCCCTGTCCCTGTGTCTGACTGGCTGTTGGGTATCTGCGGCTGGTTCCTTCCGAGATCGGCACCTCAGTTTCCCCTCTGCACATGACAGGGAGGATGGTATCTGCCAGCCTTGCCATCTCCAGGGCTGGAGCAAGGCTCCCCCCAGGCAGTGGGGTGGCCTGGCCTGGGGGTGCTGCTTCAGCTTTTGCTGCTGTGAGCCTCCTCATGAAAGCTCCCTCCTGTATCCTGTCGGGGGAGTCAGGGGATGAGCCCCCAGAAATGCAGGCCTGGAGACGGAGGAGGCACGAGGAGGGCAGAGCCCGGGAGTCCTAACTCCCACGCAGACGGCAACCTCACCCCTGGGTGGGAGAGAGTGGAAGGAGCCTAGCAGGCTAAGGGGGGCGGGGGGTTGCACTGAGGCCCACCTCGTCCAAACCCGATGCCTTGTCATCCAAGCCACAGGCAAGGGAGTAGGGGCCAGGCTCCAGGGGGGTCCAGCCCTCGTCGGTGCAGCTGCGGCTCACGTTGCGGCCTGGGCAGAGGGCAAGGGCAGAGGGGAGAGAGTTTGAGGCTGGGGGCAGGGCACGTCTGTGGAGTAGGCATGGTCTCAGACCTACGCCCACCAACCCCTGCTGCGTCAGGCTCCAGCTGCCCTGACCTAGAGACCCAGGGCATCCCAGGGGAACCTGGGGCAGGGAGCAGCCCCTCCAGGGCTGCCAGGGGACCCTCTGTCACAGATGACAGTCAGAGCAGACATTTCTGGGCTCAGTCCTGCCCCTTGTCACATCTGAACCTGGACCCAGGTGCAACAGAAACGGATTCTCATCACAGACTGCCTGGATCGTTGGCATAGAATGATCCCTGACCCTTGCCATGAGCTAAACGCTGACCCTTGTCACTGGGCCACAGGAGCTGCTGTGGCAGATGGTTTCTTTGTCCTGCGGGTACAGACAGCAGCCCTCTGGCTGAGGTGAGGGGCCTAGGCCTGCCCAGTCCTCCTGGGTCAGCCTGCCTGGGCCTATGGGCCTGGGTTTCCTTCCACACCCGGTGGGGCTCAGATATGCTGTTGGAGAGGGACCAAAGGTGAGGCATGAGGTAGGTGGGTGTTGGAGGACACCCAGTAAGGGCACAGATCTGAAATCCTCATAATGGAGAAGCAGGGAGTTCCTGGCAGGGGAATCTGCCCGGGCAAAGGCATGTGCAAGCGGAATCAGGCAGCACAGCATGGCAGGATCTTGGGGCTGAACCACATTGAGGCTGGGGCTCCCGGGCACGTCACTCTCCCCTGTTCTTGGAGGCCCAAAGCTGCAGCAAAGGGACAGGACCAATATGGGGCCATGTGAGGGGAGGGGTACCCCCAAGGATCCCCACTCTCCAGCCCTGGGGAGGTGTCCTCTTCCCTGAGAGGGAGGGAGGTTTAATAGAAAATGGGTGTGCCAGAGAAGATCCCCATTCCCCGATCACAGGACTCAGTCAAGAGGCACTGAGTCCAGGAGAAAGCTGGCCGGCCAGGCTTGCTGAGGTGGGAGGAAGGGAGGAGGAGGAAAGAGGAGGGGAAGAGCAGGGAGGAAAGGAGAGGGAGAGAGGAGGAGGCAGAGAGGAGAAGAGGTAAGAGGAGGAGGTAAGGGGATGGAGGAAGAAGGAGTGGGAGGGAGAGAGAAGCAGAGAAAGAGATATGGTGAGGAGTGAGGAAGAGACAAGAAAGAAGATGGGTCCCAACATCCTTGCCCCTAGCTCCTTTCTTACTGGCACCATCACCACCATCACCATCATCAGCTTCGTCACAACAAGTTTGGAGAACTTTTCACGTGTCAGTACTGTACAGAGCACTTCAGGCCGGTATCTTATTGAATCCCCTCAACCATCCAATGAGGAAGGTAATCCCATTTCACAGCTAAGTGAGGCTCCAAGAGGTTGGTTCCCAAGGCCAGACAGAGAGGACGGGGTAGAGCAGGTGTGGTCCCCAGGCAACCTTGCCCTCACCTGCACTGAGGTGACTTGTTTCGGGCATCCAGGTACAGAGCTGTAGGAGGAGTCAAGCTGTCCTGTGAGCTCGCGGAGGGTCACTGTGCATGTTCATTTAATATTTCCAAACTCTACTGTGTGCTCAGAATATACCAAGTGATCCCATAGTCACTATTTCTGTAAATCCTTCTGGCCACCCTTTGAAAGAGGTTCTTACCTCTCTATTTTATGGATGAGGAACTGAGGGATAGCTAGAGGTTGGGGGGACAGCCAGGAAGGAGCAGCTGGGGCTCTTTGTACTGTGAGGTCCCGGAGGAGGGCAGGAGGGACTTTGCTAGGAATGGGTACTGGGCTGGGCCACTTTCCTGCCCTGGCAGCCCTTTCCTGCACAGGCCTACCAACCACACTGCTGCAAGAGGCTCTCAGCACATGAGAAGAGAAAAGTCTTCACGCTGCCCCTACTCAGCCCCTCAGCTTTCCCTCATTGCGGCTGGGGTGGGCCGGCCTGGAGGCTTCAACTAGCCCCTTATCAAACTGCAGGCCCACCTCAGTCCCAGATCTAAGGAGCTCACTGTGGGCCCTGAGGCCATGTCCCCTCCCAGGATCTGATTCTTGTGGGGACTGCCCCACTAGGCTGGGGCAAGTTGGAAAAGGGCCAAGGCCGAATCAGCCAGCCTTGAAGCTGGGACACTAACACCTCAGGCTTTGGGCTCCCCACTCGCCAGAGAGACTAGGGCTCCATGAGGTCATGCCCAGGACATAGTGGGCACCTGGTATCATCACGAATTAAGCTAGTGAACCTGAGTGTCCCATCAGCGTCTACACAGCAGCTTCACATGCTGTGTTTGTTGGGAGCAAACATTAATGTGTTCGGACTAGTGATCAGGAGTTATCATTAGTCCCACTAAAAGATGGGGATGCCAAGACTGAGAGAGGTTGAGTGACTCGTCCATGGTCACACAACAAGGAAGCAGCAGGCCTGGGATGCGGACCTAGGTCAGCCTGACTCCAGACCTTTCTGGGCTCCCAGCAGTGGCTGAAGGGGCACCCTGTCCCCTGGAGCCCTGGCTGCCCTGAAGGGAACTACTCTTGAGTAGATCTCAAAGGCAGTCACCATGGGACCCCAAGAAGCAGCCAAGAGCCTCTCCCCAGTCTGGGCCTGGGAACTGGCAGACCTTGTGTGTGTAGAGGGGGACATGGAGGGCTGGAGGGAGGGGCAAGGCACTTTAACCCTGTGCTGGGAGGACTGCCCCATTCTCTCAGTCTCTTCTCGCTCACCATGTCTCAAAAAGAAGTCATGGCCTCCCCACCCCACCACTCCTCCCTGGCTTCTCTGTGTGAAAAGCACCACTCAGAGACTGGAGGTAGAAATTGGGGTATCATTTTCTCCCCACTGTCCTCTCTCCTCTCCCCCATCAGTCGCCAGTCCTGTACCAGCCTCTCTTTCCTCAACACCACCACCATCTCATCTCCCCTGAATTAGGTAGGAACCTCCTGATGGATCTTCCTGCTTTCCTGCCCGCTCCAACCTGCTCCCCACCCTGAGATAGCTGGAAGGATTGTTCTAAAACCTAGACCTACCCATGGCGCCCTCCTGCTGAAATCCCGTCAATGGCGCCCCGTCCCAGCCAGCCAGGGTCAATGTCTTAGGGTGGCATCAAGACTTTCCTATTTATGGCTTCATGATGCAGGTGGGGGGTGGGGGAGGTGGGGGGGGGGGAAGGTGTCCCATAGACCCCACAGACACAGTTAACATAGACTGTATGTTGAGTTTTCTCAAGCAAAATAGCTACCCTATTTTTTATTCTAAAAAAAGTCTCTTCATATATTTGAAGGTAAAAAGACCACAGATGAAACACACACAGACCACGAATTAAAGGACTGGGCCCCACAAACGCTTTGGCAATTTGATAAGCAATCCTTTCCCTGGCTAACCCCCTTCCCCTGGGTTTTTACCTAGTCTGGGTAGATGACTTCTTACTCTGTACCATCTTTATCTTCTACAAAGTTTCTTCAGCTTTCCCTGTAGGTCCCTTCCAGCCCTTCCAGGGACGACACTCCTTTCCCCAGTTCTGTTACTCAAGGAGTTGGGATTCGCATCATCCCTACCCTGCACTTCCTTTACTTGCAAACGTCCCTCTTTGAAATTTAAGGTCAGTTGCTCACACTTTCTTCATCTAGTTGCCCAGGAAAACACATCCTCTTTCCCTTACTTTTTCAGCCCCTAACCCACTCTCCTATTTCTCTCCATCATTTTCAGAAACTAGGGCTGTCAAGTATAGCTGTGCAGGTTGTTCACTGCACAAGGGCAGCTGGCTGATGGATGGTGGGGGCTAAAATTTACTTCATATTCATTTGGCCACTGGGTGGGTTCTGGTGAGAGGTTGACTCTGCCTGAGGAAGGGCTGCCTTTTTCTCATCTGTACGAAGGCATCGTGTGGGCCCATTGAGGCTGGCAGCCTCAGGGTTAGCCAGACAGTGGGCTGGAGTCCAGGTTCTCAAGTGAAGGAGCTGCCTCGACAATTCCAGCAGGGCCAGAAGGATGAGCCGTCAAGGAGGAATGCAATTAGCAGAGTGTCAGGGAGGAACACAATTAGCAGGAGCTTCCAGGGATCCAAGAGAAGGCTAGTTGCCAGGCTCTGCTGATGGGATACACTATGAGACCTGCCAGAGGAACTCGTCTCCTGCCTGCTCAGGTGCTGGGTTCCCCTAGAGGAGGGCTGGGCTAGGTGGGCGCCGGCCTGGAATATGGCACACTGGTGACTGCTCCCAGATTCCTCGGGGAGGGCATCAGGGTCTCTCCTTCACTGCTGAGGTCACAACACCGAGCACTGGGGGCAAAACTGGCCTATCCCAAAGAAACCATTTGGTCTACCACCTGTGCCCACTTTACAAACAGGGAAACTGAGGTCCAGGGAAGAAAAGGCCACCTGGAGTGAGAGATACCCAAGAGTCTAGAAAGACTCACCCTCTGAATCCTTATCTAGCTTCTGCTGCTCCCTCCGTCCTCCCCACCCCAGACCTGCTCCTCCCTCAATCCTCCTCACCCCAGACCTGCTCCTCCCTCCATCCTCCCCACCCCAGCCTGCTCCTCCCTCCATCCTCCCCACCCCAGACCTGCTCCTCCTTCCATCCTCCCCACCCCAGCTCTGCTCCTCCCTCAGTTCTCCCCACCCCAGCTCTGCTCCTCATCAATCCTCCCCACCCCAGCTTGCTCCTTAGCAATCCTCCCCACCCCAGCCCTGCTCCTTCCTCAATCCTCCCCACCCCAGCCTGCTCCTCATCAACCCTCCCCACCCCAGATCTGCTCCTCCCTCAAACTTCCCCACCCCAGACCTGTTCCTCCCTTAGTCCTCCCCACCCCAGACCTGCTCCTCCCTAGGTTCTTCCCACCACATCCAGCTTTCTCTTCCCCCCAGCTCATCAAACCTAGACCTGAGGTGGGGCACGTGTGATTCCTCCCTCCCCCTCGCACCCCCCACCACCTCCATAGGCCAGTCTCCCACTTCTCTCCTCTGCCATGCTTTCTCCCGAGTTCAAATCACCATCATCTCTCACCTGCCTTGTAGTTGGGTCTTCCCATTTGCATTCCTAGAATCCTTTCTTCTCACAGAAACCAGTTATCAGTGAAAAACCTTAATCGGACTATGTCAGGTCCCTGCTTAAAACCCCCAGGGGCTTCTCAGTGAACTTGGGAAAAAGCCGGAGTCCTCAGTCAGTCCTCAAGGCCTGCACAGTCTGGCCCCCGCCCACCTGTCCCTCCCTCCCCTGAGCTCTCTGCTCCAGACACAGCTGGCCTCCATTGAGTTTCCTTAGGGCTCATCCCTGGGGGGGGGGGGTGGGAGTGGATTCTCTCTCTCAATGATCCCCCCACCCAGGATCTTTGCGTGGTGGCTCTTTCCCACCCCAGGTCTTCAGACAGCAGCTGAAGTATCACCTCCTCAGAGAGGCCGTCCCTGAACACCTGCCTTATGTTGCACCCCCCCCCCCTCCCAGCACTGCTTACCATTTATGATACCTGTGTTTGTTTTCTTGCTAAATGTCTCTCCAACTAGAACGTTAGCTCTGAGCTGGCAGACAGTGTGGCTGTTTTATCCCCCCGCCCGACCCGGGGTTTATGTGGCCCAGTGCCTGTCGTACTACTAGGAGTGTAATGAACATTCAGGGAATGAAAGAATGGCTGAATAGATTAAGCTGCAAGACTCTTTAATCACTCAGTAGCAGAAAAGCCCACTTCCTCAAGAGGCTCCCCCCTTTCTCTTCTGCCCTCTATATGAAAGTTCATTTAGGCAGAACATGACAAGGTGTTTACATAAGCAAAGCCATGCAGTGGTTTCACGGAACCGGAAAGGCCATCAGCTCCAGGTAACGAAAGACTGAATCACGATCGGCCCAAGACAATGGGAACACAGGAGCCATAATTCAATCAAGTGTCTGTCAGTCAATCAGTTATCAATTGCTGAGCAAATATTTAGTGAGCCCTTCCCACATGCTTATCTCTAGGTGAAGAGCTGATTAAATCCCATGAGTCCTTCAAAGACCTCGTGCCAGCGCATCCTCTTTCAGGAAGCCTCCTTGATGGCTCCAGCCCCTCTGACCACTTTCCTTTGCTTTCTCACTTTCTTGAGAGGCAGGTCCCCACTCCAGCTGGCCCCACTTGGGCCACACAGCTCCCTTGCTTCAACTTAGGGCTCTTACCTTGAATGGGGGAGAAGATCTTAAAGATGACAGGGCAGGCCAAGACGACCACCTGGCCCCGAGGGGTGGCCGGCCAGCAGGTGAGGTTGTCCCACATCTTGCTGCAGCCTGTGGGGTAAAGGCAGAGGACACATGGGTCAGCACAGCCACCAGGCGCCTCCAGCCTTGGGGCTTCAGCCACAGGCACCCACTCTCTTTCTCCTCCTCCAGGCTCCCACCTCCAGGAGCTTTTAGTCTGGGGGTGGGGGGCACTGCCCTGCCCAGGCTGTCCAGGGCCCGTCCTGACAGAGACGGGGGAGAAGAAGGCATGACTGCAGCTCCATGGTCCTCAGTGAGGGACAGAGCGCCCCCTGGGGGTGTGTCAAGCAGTGGTGGGGGTTTTGTCTGCTGCAGAGATTGGGGACCTCACCCTGCATTTGATGGGCAGGTACGGGGATGCCAGGCAGACTGGCTGCAGGTTCCCGCATGATGATAAACTGCAAGGCTTTCGAATGAGCCGCTGGGCATTCGTGTAGGTGAAAACCTTTTGTAATGATCAGAGCGTAGACTCTTACTCCACTTTACCTATAAACACAAGGTCCTTATTGCACAGGTTTAACATACATGCATTTCCCAGGAATGCAACTACTGAGTACAAGGAGAGGAGGCTGGGCTTGTTTGTGCTCTGAACTTTACTAAGAGTTGTTTAATGTTTTGGAAAATCACGTAACCTACAGTAATGCTGCCCGTGACACCTGAGTCAGTGATGCAACCATGGTGTATATCAATCCACATTTATAGCTCTCACCTTCCAAGGATTTATATTTATAGGTACAACCTTCAGACTATGTCTTCTTATCTTTGAGTGTAATTGTGCCTGAATATGTACAGAGTATTTTATTATAAATTGCTTTCTTTTTCTTTTACAACTAGAACAGCATTTTAAAAAAATGCATGCGTGTATCCTGAATTTCTTTTTATCATGGTAAAGGAGGCATTAGGAAATGTTTGTTATAAAAAGGAAGTGTTGGGTATGACGGGGTGATGGGTATATTGGGGTTTATCTAGTTCTTGAGGAGTCTTCACAAAACTCACAAAGCAACCCAGAGGCCCCAACTCAGTCGAATTGTGAATTGTGACGGGATGGCGGTTGGAGGGGGCCGGTTCAGAGAAAACCCTGCATTGCAGGCTGTGTTCTCCACTGTGTACCTACTAGTCTTGAGGGTCCGGCTGGTGAAGGGGGCACAGTGGGGTTCCTAGGGATCTGCTTTAATAGGCAAATGCAAATGCCATGGTTTTGCCTGTTCAGAGGTCCCAGAGTGACTAGGACTCTTCTGGATCCCCTTCCCTGAGGGAAGTTTAATTGTCTCTTTGCAACCCTGCCAGTCCCATAGATTTGCTCAGGAAACCCAACCCCTGAGCCAAAGTCAACGGCATCTGGGCCAAGCCCAGCCCAGCCCAGGTCCGAAGGTTCATGAGTTTCCAAGAAGGGGGCCTGGGAAGAAGAGGTGAAAGGATGTCCCCACTTAGGAAAGAGCCTGTGGACTCTAGCACTTGAGTGGGCCCACAGCGGGGTGGTGTATCTTTTGGGGCTGCAGCAGCCAGGTGGCACCTGCAGCTGAAGGCTGAGAACACCTGGATCCCCGGGGCCTGGTCAGAGAGCACAGCCTCCCTTCCTCAGGGACCCCAACACTTCCGCCCCACCTGTCCTGAGGCTTCTGTGGCTCACTCTGGCTCCCAGTCCCTCCTCCATTCCCGTGCCAGCCTCTCTAGAGGCCACGTCAGGGCCCTTCAGGCCAGTCAAATCCTGCTAGCGGTTCAAGACCCTGTTAATAATATCAGCAAACACTTACGTAACCGTTGTATGTGGCAGGCTCTGTTCTACTCTCTTTAAATAAATAACTTCTTTAACCCTCTCATTTTATAGTTGGGTAACTGAGGCATAGAGCAATTAGGTAACGAGCCCAGGGACACACTGCTGGCGAGTGGTGCAGCCTGTTCACATGCTCCCTCTCTAGCTTTTACTCCTCCATGCTGGAGGCTAGGCTTGATGCTGTTTCTCTGGGAATTTTGCTCTGCTGGACTCTGTTTACCCCTCTCTGACAGCGCTGGGCACACCCTATTTTGTAGGCCGGCTATTGTGCCAGGGTCCTCGCCAGACTTTGAGCTCTCTGGATCTCTAACTGCAGCACAGTTCGGGGAGTAAATTTGGGGTTGGATGTCTGGCCCTGAGCTCCGCTTCACCGGAGGTGGCACAGAGAAGAGAGAGACGGGGCCCTGCCCTCGGGGAGGCCACACTTGTCCTCAAGGAATCTCAGCACCACTAGGGCTGGGCTGAGAACTGGTGCTGGGGTGCAAGCCAGCGAGCAGGGCAGGGGAGCCAGGGGAGAGAGGCCAGGAGGGCCACATGGTCAGGGAAGCTTCCTGCAGGAGGCAGCAGGGTTAGGAAGCCGAGGAGGGGGTGACAGCCAAGAAAATGCTAGTCATCTGGAGGGTCTGTTGTCTTGGGCTGGGCCCTGGGAGTATTTTCTGTGTGCCCACCCCAGGCCCCACAGGTCCCACCCCGCGTGTCACCAGGCCCACAGAGACACAGAGCCCAGGCTGGCTGTGTGTGCCTACTAGGGGCTGCCACCTCAACAGGAAAGAAAGCCCAAGCTAGAGCCTGGGGTGGGGGATGGTGAGGCAGGGTGGGGGCCTCTGCTGTGTCATTTTATATACGTGTGTGTGCAGAGACACACACTGACAAGCACTCCCAGGCACACAGAACCACAGACGCGTATGCAAACATACAGACATGTATGCTTACTTGGACATGGAAAGACCAGACACAAACACAGGCACAGAGATACACACAACTCACAGACACACACACAGAGACATGACTGGGCATACCATAGACGCTCACACTCATAGATACAAGCACACACAAACCATCACACAGAGACACAGCAGGCAGACACCTCCAGGCATGTCTAGGCTTACACAGACACAGGCTTCTGACACACAAAGACACTCAGAGTCAGACACGGAGCTATAGACCCCAAAGGCACAGACACAGCCCCGGACAGACATGGGCCAGGAGCACACACCTGGATGTGTGTGAACATGCACAGAGTCCCACACAAGGTCATGGGCAGACTCACGGTCCACAGACCCATACCTGCCCTCCTCTGGATCCCAGGCTGGCTGCCTGGTGACAGGGTGTTGGCACCTGACAGGTACCCTGTGCCAGTAATGACCTCATTGGGATCACGAGGGTGGCCTGCCCTGGGGGCCTGGGAGGTGCCGCAGTGGGACCTAGAGTCTGGGGTCTGGGCCTCTTTAGGCTGCCCACGATCCCGCCATTGGGGCCTGCCGAGGCCTATCTGCAGCCTGGCCCTGCCTCCCTGCCCTGGTGAGTTGAGGTGGGGCATAGGAACAGTAGGCAGGTTTGGCCACCCCTGGACCCAGGCCTCGGTCTCAGGACCCCAAGAGACAGGAGGCCTTCCCTCCTTGAGAGCCGAGCTCGGGAGGTGAAGCCCATCTGTGAGGGTACACACACTCACTTATGGTGCAGGAGGCAGAGAGCCTGGGCACCAGGGCCAAGAAGGAGGGACCTGGTAGGGGTTACATAACTGTCTGTCTCAGAGAGGTGGCAGGAGACTGGGGAGCCAGGAGGACATAAAGATGCTCCTTGCTCCTGAGTGAGGCTGTTATGTAACTGTAAACTCAGCCTCAGGGGGGTGACCTGGGAGGGAGGCCCAGAGCAGGCACAGCCACCTCACTGCCTCCAGCCCTCCCCCTCCCTCTCAGTTAGCCTCGAGCCCTATACCCACCCCCCACTCCCCAGAGGGCAGTCTGCCTTGGCGCCTCCCACCTTCCCAGCCTCTCTGCTTCTCCAAATCCTGCCCGCCCCTTCCGAGTCTGGCTCAAGCGGCACCTTTGGAAGGAAGCCCTCTGTAATTCCTCCCATTCTCACCCCAGAACTGCTGAGCCAGGTGTGGGCACATGGGGGGTGGGGATGAAGAGGAGCGGGTGTTGTCATTTGATCTGACGGCCCGGCCAAGTCACCTAACAGTGCCCCTGGCACCACCCTCACACTGCCATGCTGGAGCTCCCTCAGACCCCCTGAGCAGGAGCTGGGCCCCCATATGCTCAGCCTCTGAGTCTGACCTTGACTTGTGTAATCAGCAGGATGAAGAGCTGATGGTTCATCTGGCCTGCTGAGGGTAGGTTGGGTTGGGGAGGTCAGTGTGTGTGCCACATCACTTCTGGGTGTTGTGGTGGCTGGCAGAACCTAGGGTTGGGAGGAAGGAGCTAGGCCTCAGTTTCTCCCTCCTGTGGGGAGTATTCCAGACCTGTGCAGATTAGCCTGGTGCCCCTTCTTGCTCTAGGCTGCCAAGATGGCTTTGAGCTTCCATGTGGTCCCTTTGGCGGTCACATACTGTCACCGAAAGTCCTCCGCTCTCCCTCTGAGATGCTAACACAGTACAATGCCTATTCCTGGAGTGTGGTGTTCTGGGGCCAGTTCTCCCCATCTCAGCTCCAACTACGTCAGGGGCTGAGACACCGGACCCAGGAGTGCTCCCACCAGAGAGCTACCCCAACCCTTCTTTGGCCTGGGTCAGAGGACCTCATTGTCACAGGCCCCCACCATGCAGTGCCTTGGCCTCCCATCCTGGATGGGCTGGCAGCCATGGACATCATCTTCACTCTTCCTGGAGAAGAGGGGTAGGGATCCCCAAAGACAGAGTTCACTCCACTCACTTTTCAGAACCCTAACTTAGTATGTTCTCCTCAGCTAACAGCTGGGAGCTCCCCAGACCTGGAGTGGGTGATGGGAACGTGGAGGCCTGTTAGCTGCTTCTTTCTTCCATCTGGCTCCCCAACTTCTCCCAGCATCCTTTCCTTACCACCCAGCAGCTCCTTAGTGCTGTCCCCCTCCAACAAATGTGGAATGAATGTGACCTGGATCTGGGCTCGTGACATGAGGAAAAATGGGGCTCTTTGGGTCTGCAGCACCTCTCTTCCCACTGGGGCCTCACCTGCTGTTTCGTTCTCCAGCTGGGCCTCCTCCAGGCACTGCTTGTGCTGTACCTCGATCATCTGCAGATAGTCACACTCCTCCCGCTGCAGCCCAGCTGCCCAGCTGCCCTGGGGGACAGAGACAGGGAGGGGACCTGTCAGCCTCGTCCATGGCTCACATCTCGTCCACAGACTCCAGGAGCGTGGGGCCCTTGCTTGGCCCCGTCCCTGGACTGATCCAACTTCCAGACTGAATCCCAATCCCAGCCCCAGACTGAATCCCAATCCTAGCCCCAGACTGAAGCCTGACCCTGACCTGGATCTAACCCAAAACTTGTCCATTATCCCCCAAAGCTTGGTCTGCCTTGAAGACCCTGTCACGGCTTCTTGGGGGCTCCCCCAGCACTGCTGTGGCTGTAACAACTTTATCTCTTTGTGGGTAGCATGACCCTGGACAGATGGGAGAGGGCCTCTCCTTAGAGCCCAGAACTGGCCCACTGGACTCTGCCATTCACCAGCTTGATGGGAAGGTTGGGAGTTGTCTGTCCCTGCCTCAGTCTCCAGGATGGGTGGGGCCCAGCTGTGCTACCTCATTATGGGAGTTGGACCCTGGCCTCCAGTTCCTGGGGCCAGGCTTGGGAGGAATCCACGAGTCTGGCTGCATCTTCCAGCCTCTGCCCCCATTCTAAGAGCCTGTGCTCAGTCCCCTGGGTCACTAGCTGGGAAGGGGACATTGGCCTCTTCCCAGACCTCACCTGCCTCCGTCTTAGCTTCTGAATAACTCAAGCTATAGCAGATCTGATGAGCAGGGGAAGTTTAAGGAAGTAAGAGAAGCCCCTCTAGAATGTCTTGTGATCCCACCAGGGCTCCTGTGCCTCTGGAAGGTGGTGAGAAAGGATGGGAAAGACCAAGTTTCTCCCTTCACCTCCCTTTCACCCTGGCCAGGGATCAGGGGTGGGGCCAGACCTGTGTGCCAGGGCGACACTGGCACTGGGGCTGACACGTGAGTAGGAGTGATGACTGCCTAGGAACAGCCAAGAAAAAAAAAAAAAAACAGGTCTGGAAGCCACTGAGTGGGGAAGGATGGGTGAAGGCTCCATGGAGGAACCACTGGGCTGGAGGCAGCTTCTGTCTCTTTGGCTGTAGGAAAGTGGTTGCCACTCCTGGCAACCCCACATCAGTTTCCTTTTCTCTGCTAGGGAAGAAAACATCACAGTCGTGAGGGAGAGTCCAGCAAGACTGCTCCGGCATCTGAGAATCTCAGTGTCTATTCCAACTTGTCCTTCCCACCCTGGGACAAGGTCCTAGCTTCCCTGGGCCTCAGTTTCCCTGTAGGCTACATGGGCCTCAACCACTTTCCCTGCTGACTCAAAGCGCTCTTGCAATAGGGCTGTGGGGAGAGCATAAGTGGAGGGGTTTCTCCTTATTTCCTTCCTTCAAGGGGGTCCCTGTCTGGCTTGCAGTCACTAAGGGTGTGACTTTGACCAGTGTTCTAGGTGAGTCGACCCCATTGAAGTGCCAGTGAGCTCTCCACTGCTGTGGAAGGAGGAGAGTCCAAGCTGAAGCTGGACAATTCAGTGCCCAAGAGGCCACACAGCTGAGTCTCTTCCACCTCGACGGCTCTCTCATGCCTTGTTGAAGGCTTTCGTGGAGGCTCATTCTCACAGCGGTCCCCATAGTCCAACTTTCCCATCTGCAGCTAAGCATCACAGCTGACCTAGCCCAGGTCCAAGGGGAGGCCTCCTCGTCCAGGATGTCTTTCAGACTGCCGGCACCCAGACCTCACTCACCCACATGCCATGGGCCTGGAAGTCACACAGCGAACATGGGTTCCATCTTGGACCATTAAATTTACCAGCCAATTGGGGTAAAGACATTAGCTGGTAAGTCATTTAAAACTCGTATATTGAAAGTAACACAGATCTATTATGGAGCAGGATGCAGTTATTTGTATAACTGTTTAAAAGAAAGGATATGAGACTTCAAGGAAATGTTGTACTGTGGTTTCTCTTTGGGGTCACGTGCTTCCCTCTTGTCCATTAGGGTTATCCAGACCAAAACACTCAAGATGCTCTGTCTTAAGGGATCTGTGGCTGTCTTAAGGGATCTGTGGCCATGCTGTATGCCAAGAGATATTTCTTTTCCAATCACTGAGGGCATTGTAGGGTTCCTGGCAGCTTCTCTCTGCCGTTCTCTGAGGGTGGAAGGGTGTTGGGTCAACTTCTCTAGCCAACTCTGCTCCCCCAGCAGCACAGCCACAAAGCCTTTCCTGATAGGCAGTTTACTGAGGAGGGGCAGGAGCCCTCGGGGTAAGCCAGGAGCCTGGAGTCCCTCTGAATAAAGTGAGGGTGGTCTGGAAGACGAGCTCTGTCTTCAGCACAATTTAGTTGAGTGCTGGGCCCCGTCTGGAGAAGAGTAGAGGAAACAGAGACGCAAAGAGGGCCTTGAAGTCACCCAGAAATGCACATTCCCAGGAGGGACCTAGGTCTCTGACCACTGGTCTGGACGGCATCAATCCCTCTCCACAGCCTCGCCTTGGGTCATCAGGTCAACCATTGCCCTTTGGGGGACGACGCCAGGGCAGCTCCCTCTAGCCCTTATCACTGAGGAATTCAGACAGACTTTGGACTTCCTCTTCCACTTATTTCCCTATTCTAAACACCCTCATTATCCCTCTGGACTCCAGACACATCAAGTCGGAAAATTCCCAGCCAGATCCAGGGAAGGGTTCCAGGGTAGGATATAGCTGGGGTGTGGGCTTCATAGAGAATGGTAATAGAGGCGGGCCTTTGAGGATGTGCAAGAGTTTGACAATTAGAGGTGGAGTAAGAGCATTCCAGAAAGTAGGAGCAGTGTGTACAGAAGCATGGAGGCATGAAAATGCCTAATACATTCAAGGTTGCAAGAAGCCTGGTGTGGCTGCAGCAGAGGGCGCTGGAGGCACCAGGAGATAAGTTGGGAGACATAGGCAGGGGCTAGGCCTCATCAGCTCCTGCCTGGACTGGTGCAGTAGATTTCAGCCCCACCACCTGCAACCTGAGAGATCTTTGTAAGATGTGTACCCCCATCCTCACTCTCCTGCTTCAAATCTCTGATGGTCCCCATGGCCTAGGAATCAAAGCACACACTTCAAAACTGGTGTTCAAGGCCCTTCCTAATCCCTCTACTGCTTGCTTCTCCCAACTTGTCTTCTGACGCCCCACGTGGAGAAAAGAAAACAGGGCTTTCTCCCAAACCCTCACCAGTTCTTGTGCTGGGCTGAGCTTCAAGTGAGCTTACAGTCAGCTGACCTTGCAGTTGGGTTGAAGTGAGAATTTCAGGCCAGGTTGGGCCCCCAACACCTTCTCTATGACAGGAGTTCCTGAGCCTGGAAGAAGGGACCTGGCAAGAGCAAGGAAGTCCATAGCATCCCTCAGTCCTGGTCCTCTTGTTTCCCCTGCCGTGGTGTTGGCTGGATGTGGAGGTGACTGGCTGAGAGCTGGCAGGAGAATCCTGGGTCTCTGGTAGGTGCAGGGATCAACCAAGGCTTGTCAATTCCACCTGCTTGGTTGGGCCCCCTCCTCTCTATCCCCACTGTGAGGGGCTGGGAGAAAACCCTGTGTTCTCTCCATGTGGGGCTCCCAAGATCTGGGGCAAAGCCTAGGGTTGCGGGGGGAAGGGTGAAGATGCCGAGAGCTGTAGCTCTTAGACGCTAGGGGCTCTGCAAGGCAGGGTGGGCCCGGCTCAGGTTGTGGGCCATACCCAATCCCCTCAAGAGAAGTCTGAGGCCACAGCTACTGGCCTCAAATCAGAACACCCCAGCCTCATCCGGGGCCAGAGAACTATGGCAGGAGGAGCAGAGGGAGACAGAAGCGGTGCAGTAGGAGCACATGAGTCCCTCTGAGAAACAGCTCGTCTCTGAGAGGGCTCTAAAATGCAGCAGGCTGGATTAGGTGAGACAGGAGAAACAACTTCCTGTCTGCAAATTACTGAGCACTGGGAGTTACTGTGGACGATTTGTGCTTCCGAGGTTTGTCAAAGGAGGGCTCTTTTTTCCTGCTGGGGATGGTTGGAGGAGGCCGGGGAATGGGAAGTAGAGGAGAGGGGACTCAGGAGTGGTCCCACTTAACATTCCCCCATTACCATCTCATATTCCATGGTTTATTTAAGCGCCACCCCCCACTGAAATAACAGGGCAACAAAAAGACACAGGGGGAAACTGAGGACCCAGACAGAAAGCAGTGTGATCAAAGTCACACAGGACCACAACCTAGCTTCCCAGCTACCCCTTTCATTCTGGCATTTGTGTTTGAATTGGTAAGGAGATGGATTTTGTAGTCCAGGAGGCAGACAGGGAGGAGAGAAGGAGTAAAGGAGAAAAGGGCAGGGGGGAGGGGTGGGGGCATAGGAGGATAAGGTAGCTCATGGGATCCAGAAGTCACAGAAAAGAGGAGAAACATGCTCCCAGCTCCGCAGAGGGCACTAAAGAAGTTGAAATAAGACCTCATCTTATTGGGCAGCGGCATGTGGGAGCGTGCTGGAGTGACAGGGATGTGTAAAAGCTTGATCGGGGTAGTAGCTACATAGGTGTACATGTGAGTGACAATTCTGTGAGCTGTCACTTCAGATTTGTCAGTTTACTAATTAAAAGCTATCTCTAACGTGCTTGAGCAGCACGTGGCATGCCACGGCCCCTTTGGAAGAAGCAGCTCCTCTTAGTGAGACAGCAGAGCCTAGTTAAGTCCACAGGTTCCGGAATCAGCCCGTCTGCCACTTCCTGGCTGGGTGACCTTGGGCAAATGGGGACAACGACAGCACCACCTACTTCCAGGGTTGTGTCAAGGGTCACATGTAAAGGACACTAACTGACTGCCAACAAAGGTTAGCAGTAATTGTCAAAGCCCTGGCCCAGCCCCTCATGCCAGGCTCATTGCCGTCAATGCCCAGACCCCAGTCTAGACGCAGCCTTAACGCCCTGCATAACCCCGGCCAGCCTGAATGCCCTACCCCCTAACAAGTGGCAGCCATGCCCACCAGAGAACAGGCTTGGGTCTCGCAGTTTCCCTCACCCCCTACTGCAGTCTAATTTCTCTTCCTTTTCCTATATTTTTACATCCTTTTGCCAATAGTCCAAAACCTCCCCTCTCTGCAAATCCAAATTTTGCCAACCACACCCCGCCTTGGGGAAGGCTGAGCTCTGGGTAGTAGGAGGGTAGAATGAGAACTGGTTTTTAGTGGGTGAAAAAGAGGGGAAGACCTGGGGATACAGGTTTGGGTTGGGGCAAGAGAGAACCTTCTACAGCTCAGAGTGGTACCCGGACAATGGCTCTTATTAGGAGAATATGTGCAAAGAGGGTCAGCCTGGGGTTAAGCCTGATGCCACTAAGGGCCCTTCTTGGTTCCCAGGGTAAGTAAACCCTTGGAAGGTTTACTTAGGGTCACGAAGGCTTTCAGGGTTTCTCTGCAGAGGATCACTGTGGGGATAGTCAGCAAAGCAGGAACAGTAGGCACTCAGGTTTAAATCCTCTGCCCCTTGAAAGTCATGCTGGGCACCCCGGGGGAAAGAGGACTCAGTTTACAAACACGGTGTCTGTGGGTGGTTTTGGTGTTGGGGCCACCTGCAGAGGGCTGGGCACTAGCACAGGGAGCCACGAGGCTGTGAGTTCTTGCTACACAGGGGTTGGTTGGTGAACTCTTTCCCTCTGATGACCTCTGATGACCAGATGTGCAGGAAGAACTTGTTGCAGATAGCAGGAGGCACTTCCTGAGAGATATGGACCTCACATCATGAGCCACATGAGAGGAGGTGCAAATACAGACTGGGCCCTGTCCTGTGAAGCCCAGCTAGAGGCTCACCCACCCTGCTCAAGGCCCCTGCTCTCCTCGCCCACCCTGCCAGCTCACTGTACAGTCCCACCACGACACAGGCAAGAAAGCTCCTTGCAATAAGACCAAAAATCCTGATAATATCACCACTCATCTTGTGGTGCTTGATTAAATGCTGCTTGGGGATATCTGAATATTAGACATTAAGGAAGCTCGGTTAATTTTTTTAGTTGTGATGATGGTACCATAGTTAAAAAGAAAATGTCCTTTGGTTTTAGGCATGCATCTTAAAATAATTTGGTGTAAAAGGTCATGATGTCTATAATTTATTTTAAAATACTTCGGCCAGAAAAGCAAATGATGCAAATATTAATTGTTAAGGTTAATAATTGTCAAACCTAGAAATTGGGAAGGAACGAGTACTAGAAATTCCTGTACTGCCATTTTGCTGATGTTACTCCAAGGAATGGGTATGGCCATCTTAGTCATACCAGTCTACGGTTTTTTTTATATGTTGGAAAATTTTCAAAATAAAAAACCTATAATGTGGTGGAGAGATTAAACCGTGTTTCTTTTTCTTCTTCTGAAATACGCCTAAGGGATGTGAGAGTTTGCACATGTTGGATATTTTCCCAGGTGCAGGGAGAACTGCTCTGTGCTGGGAAGTCAGACGGCAGAGGGCAGAGTCTGGGAGGTTGAGCAGAAGGGGCAGGGAGAAGGGGACATGGCTTCATCTAGTGCCCTGGCCCCATTCCCGCATCCATGGCCAGAGAGGCCACAGTGAGGGGCCCAGGCGAGTGGCAGGCTGGGCCCAGGCTGGACTGCCACTGAAGCTCTGACCACGTGAGAAGGCCCATCACCTATCACCCAGCTCTCTCTGAGAGGACCCATTGCCCTGGGCCTGGAGCTTCAACCCCCAAATTGCCTGGCTACCTCATGAGGACACTGCCATGTCCCTAGGACTCCTGCCTGCCTTGGGGACCCCTGGGCAGGTGGGGACAAGAGAGGGCTGAATAGTGATCCACAGGGCTCCCGAGCCGGGGATCAAGAGGAAGGAATGCCCTGTCACACAGTTCACACAACACTTTCACCTCCTTCCAGTCTTGCAGAAATCCTGACAGGAAGACTAAGCCTGTTTCAGAGTTGTGAGGCTCAGGGGGAAGATGATGCCCGTCAGGGGGTGGAGCTGGCCTCCAGCCAGCCCTCTCTTCCCATTTCTCCTGCACGTTGGGAAAAGGGTTCTCACCCTCACTTTTGTGATGAGGAAACTGAGGCCCTTCCACGGACAGGCAACACGTTCTCAAGGGCAACTGGCCATTGCCATGGAGCGGGGTGAGCCCCAGCTCGGGCTTCTCCGGGAAGCTCCAGAAGCGTCAGGGAAGGCTGAGACTCAGGGCACCAGGGAGGGCGGGTGCACACCTCCGAGGGGAGCTCGCTCTTCTTGCATAGTCCCCGGGGAGCCCTGGGCAGGCCTACGTGAGGTCGTCCCTTCACTAGGGGAGGAGGTCTGACCCCGGTGCAGCCATATTTCCTAAAGCCCACAGGGGGGCCTGGGCAGCTGCGGACAGCCTCTGGAGGGGCTGGAAGCAGATGGCCAGGGCGGGATGCCTATAGCAAGGTGAGGCCTTCAGGAGCAGGTGGCCAGCAACCCGCCTCAGAGAGGAGTTAGAGAAGCCAAGCCTCCCGACCTCTAGGCCACCCCAGTCTCTGGGGGGAGCTGGGGCTTCCTCCTCCTTTGGGGGTCAGGCCCATTAGTCCTGCCAACAGAGGGTGTTTATGGTCTCAGGGGGAAAGTCGGCCTATTCGGCTGAACTCTTCAGGGCATTGTCCTGCCTCCTTCAGGGAGCCTTCCCTGACTGCTCCTCTCTGTGACTCTTGCTCCAGTTCCGGGAGGCTGCACCCCACACAGCCCTGGGCTTTTGAGTTGCTGGCTCTGCTCTACCCCACCAGCCTGAGAATCTTCCCAGGGCAGGGCCTGGGTCTGCTCCTCCCCTGTGACACCCCTCCCTCCACCCCAGGGTTGGGCATTGCCCTGAGCAGTTCTCCTACCAATGAGGAGCCCCAGTGCCTGCTGTCCAGGGGGTAGGGGCAGTGGAAGGCCAGACAGGTGGCCTTGGGGCACACTTCCTCTTCTGAGACACTGGAGGTTTTCTTTCCTTTTTTTTGCTTCCCTGTTCAGAGATTTCCCCTTCCCATGCTGAGGTCAGGGCACCATAAACAGCAGTGATAAGGCCTTGGGCCTTCAAACTGAACTTTGCAGCTGCCATTTTATGACTCTGATAACACCAGCCCCCCTCCAACCCCCGAGTCCGGCTGGAGCAGGATTGCCTGGTGTCCATTCAGTGTTGGAGCAAGTGGTGGCTGGTGGGGAGGAGAGAGCAGTAGAGAGGGAAATGGGGGCCCCTCATCCTAGCCTGCCCTCACCCAGTCCTGAGTGAGTCTCCTCCCTCTGGGCCCAGCCCTGCACTGGGCTGTGGGGGACACAGGAGGGTGAGAGACCTCAGCCTTTGATCCCACGGGATGGTCAGAAGAGCCAAGGCTGGGAGGTGAGTAGGGCTGAAGGGTGGGGTCAGAAGGGGGAGGGCTGAGTGGGCTGGAGCAATCAGGGAAGGCTGTCTGGAGGAGGAGCTGGAGCTGGGAACTAAATAAGCTGTGGAAAGACACGGGAGGGTAGGCATTGGAGGAGCCAGGCTTGGACTGTCTCAGGAGGTAGGGGGCAGATGTGACTTAGCAGGAGAGGAGGCCCCGTTGAAACCACTCTGCCCCTGGGCTGAGAAGCCTGCAGGGATGGAGGATTGGGGTGCCAGTGGTGGTCCCAAGGTCCCTGGCTCATCCAAGGAGAATTTGAGGGGTTGGAGCCCAGGGTTGGGAGAACCACAGGGTTGTGGGAGACTCCAGAGGCCTGGAGGCTCGGTGACACTCAGGGGCTGTACATGGTGCCAGAGCTGTGGCCTCAGGGCCAGAACTTGGTGAGGCTTCCAGTGCTCAGGAGGTGGGTCCCATGGTTCTCTGTGGGAGGAGGGGAGGCTCCTGCCAATTGTCAAAAGGTCTGCTTCCAGGACAGACAATGAGCTCCTCATCCCCAGGGTGTGCAAGACATTAGCTAGATGGAAAGAGATTCCTGGCCTCGTGGAGGTGATGGTAAGAGAGGTAATCATGGAATAGAAGAGACTAAATCATCAATATGCTGCACCTACCCACTAGCAGCAACCCCAGATTCCTCAAGTCCTAGGATAGGGGTAGAGAGAAAATCAACCTCAGTCCAGGTCTGACTGGTGGGGGGCAGGTGTCTTTGGGCCTCACTTTGCCCATCTATAAAATGGGCCTGGGTAGACTCAGTGAGTCTTGAGGTCTTCTCTAATCTTACAGGGAGATGATCCAGCCATCTCCCGCCTCAACCAAGATCTGCCCTGCAGCCCAGGTGAGCCATCCACAAACACACACATGGGCACACCCACACATGGGGCACACTAGCACACATGGGTCAGGGGCATACACATACCCATGTGGGGATGAAGCAGAAGTGGGAGGAAGAGGGAGGCCACTGCTTTTTGGCTGTTTGCTCCCTGTTCAGCTTTTCCCAAGCACATGTCTGGCTCTTCCTTATAAGCACCATCCCCTACCCCTCCCTGCCCACCACCTTCCACCGTGAGCTCCGTACATTTCAGCTCTGCTCAGTGAAAGGGCACAGGAAGGGTCTGCCTGTCAGCCACCTGATCCCAAAAGACCCTTCCCAGGTCTCGAGGTCCCCAGCGCTGGGTCTGCTGCTGAGACGTCACTCCCACACGTAACACACAACGCCCCACAGACACCTCCAGAGGGGCACAGCACACAACGACGACCCTCACAGCCTCCCTCCCACCCACCCACTGTCTACCAGACCTTCCATTTCATCCGACCGCAGTCCCCGGCCCTGACTTCCCCACCCCACGCACACCCGCAGCCACGACACAGAAGGCGGGTTTGGAGCCCGCTCTCTCCCGCCGCCCCTCCGCGAGTGCCCCAGATCGCCGAGCGGAGCCGGCTCCGGGCTGCGCTGGGAGCGACTAAGCGCGACCGAGACCCCACCCCTCGGGTCTAGATCCGGTCCGAGGCGGAGCGGGGAGGCGAGACCCGATGCTCCGCGCTCCTTATTCCCCTTACACAGACGTGCGCACAGACGGCCGGGCTCCTGCCGCCCCCACTCCACCCCCAGCTGCCGGGGCTCCGGGTGGCCCAGCGAGCAACACTCACCGTGGGCCCGAGGGCGCAGGCGAGGGCGCCGGCCAACACGCATAGCCAGCGGGCTGGCGGCGGAGTCGGCGGGCGCATGGTCCGCCCCGAGCCCGCTGCGGGCGGCTCCGCGCCGGTAATGGGCGGACGGGCGGCGTGCCGCGCGGTCGACGGCGGGGAGCCTGGCAGAGTGGCGCTGCCGCGGTGGCCCCAGCGCTAAGAGTCGCCGCTCGGGGCGGGCCCCGGGGGCTCGTCTGACGGGCGGCGGGTCTAGCCAATGGATCCACAGAGGCGGGGCCGCCGAGCAGGTGTGGGGCGGGGTTGGGGGCGCCCTAGCGGGAGTCCCTGCGCTCCCTCCGCCACTCCCACACGTCAGTCCTCAGTCGCCAGGCATTGCCAAGCCTTCGCCCCCTCGGACCGCATCCCCAGGAATCTCGATCCCCAACACGCGCCATCCTTCCTTGCTGGGCTGACGACGTTTCCAAGCGCCTGGCTGCGATCCCCCACTCCCGCACGCCCCCTCACTCCCACCGCAGGGCGCTCTTTACGTCTACCTTCAGAGCCACCGCCTCCAGGAGGCCTCCTCGCCAGGCTCCCCATTTCCCACTTCTGCGCCTGAGAGGGCTGGTGCGGGCGGGCTGGACTAGGAGACAGGACATGTCACTTATCCCCCAGGCTGGGGGCTGCGGCCTGCGTAGGGTCCTGTGCTGCAAATGACCCAGAGTAGTTGGGGCGCGTTGTTTGATCCGTTTTCAATCGCCCCAACTCATTCCTCGCTCCCGAGAGGCCCGGCGAGAGAAGCGAGGGCGCGAGTGAGGCCTGACTCTGGGTCCCTCGGTGCCTCCCCTGAGCTCAGGCGACCTGGCAGGGCGCACTCTGCACCGGCTGGGCTCCCCAGTCCTTCACGACCCGGGGGATCGTGCTCCGAGGAGGATGGCGCGTCCGCGCCCTCGCGCGTCTCGGCCCGGGGAACCTCCCGAGGGAGGCTGGGCCGCGGTTCCAGCGCCCCCACGCGGGTAGGGAAGGTGTGTTCTTAGCGCGCGGGACCAGACTGCGCATCCGACCTAAAAGGAACCGGAGACTTCCTCCTCCGCCTGCCTTGCCTATTTTGCAGCCTGGGAAACTGAGGTCCAGAGAAAGGTTGAACCCGGGCCGCCTGCTTCTGGTGTCTCGCTTACAAGGCTCGGCGGGTCGGCCGCTGGGTGACATCGGGCCAGCCTGCCTCCACTGCGCGTCCTAAGGGCTCATTCGTCCCTAGAATGAGGCGCGGGTTCGGCGCCGCACGCCGGGAGCGCGTCTTCTTGTGGACCAAGCATAGGTGGCTGCCTGACCCTCTTTCCAGCGGCTGGAGACGGTGCAACCGAGACTGGAGTGATGGCGGTGGCGGCGGGAATAAGGTGGATGGTGGGTGAATGTGACAGGGGAATGGCGGAGGGCGGTGTTCAGTGGAAAGGCTGAGAGGGCTGCGCGTCCCAGGGCGCCTATCGGGATGTGCGGCCGCTTGAAGGGGGTCCAACTCCAGGCGCTAGCTGACCAGCAGGTGCGTCCGAGTTCCCTGCTGACCCACCCGGACTTCCCTCCCTACCGCGCGGGAAACTCGGGCCGCTGGCCTTCCGGAGTGGGATGGAGTTAACGGGGAGTCAGGGGAAAGCCGGGAAGGGATGAGCGCCCAGCCTCCATCCATTTCTGCTTATTTGGGGTGCTAGCATTTGCTTTCTACTCTTCTTTCCTCCTCCCCTTCCTTCTTCCCTTCCATCCTTTCCTCCTCCTTCCCATCCCTCTCTTATATCTCCCTCCCTCCGTCCCTCCCTCCCTTCCTTCCTCACACATTTATTAATAGCTTGCTGTGTGCCAGGCTCTGTGCTGTGCACTGGGGCACAGAGGAGGATAAGACAGCAGCACCTCTTGCCAGAGAAAGACCTGGAGAGCTATTGTACTCCCCACAATTTCCACCTCCTTCCAGATATAATCAGTGAACCTGGATTTAGGTCTTCCCCCAGATATGGGAACTGTGGAGATGCCTCTGCTCTGGCCATTCTGGGGTTTGGACCCAACTCCTCAGTGGAGGAAGTGTTTGAAGAATCACCAGCCATCTTCTCAGCCATCCTCACTTCTGGTGGCCAGGTTAGGCTCAGGAACCAGCAGTCCTTGCCTCCCCTTGTGACCCTGACAGTTCTCCGGCAGGGCAGTGGAATCATGTCCTCATTCTGGGGAGTCACCTCTGCTGGCAGTGTCCTAGGAGTCCTAGATGTGAATGGCAAATCCATGGGCTTTGGCTCTCATAAACCCTTGCGCTCTCTGCCTCTACACACAGACACACACACACACACACATGCTACCTAGTCAGCTGCAGAATGCTGAAATCCCACCATTAATGCTTGTCCCCCTGGACTGTTGAAGTTCTACTCTCTCTGATGACAGGGATCTTGGGTACCTGAGAGTGCATTGACGGGGGCGAGGATTGGGGAATAAAAGGGAGCCAGACACCACTTTGCCTGGCCCAGCAGGGGGCCCATGGGAAAGTGGGGAGGGAATTTTAAGGCTCCTAGCTGGGGATGGGCTGCCTCACCCCTTGTTCTGGAGGGCAGTCCACAAGAAACCCCCTCCTTAGCTCCAGGGCCGTGTGGGCAGGCTGGAGGCAATGAGAATGACTGGCAAGGCCTCTTGATGCCCTTGCAGTCCTCAGGCTCCCAGGAAGGCGGAGGGTGACTAAGGGAGAATAGTTTTCCTGCAGATTCTTTGCAATGAAAATTACTTCTTTGTTCTTTCAGAATTATTCTCCTGGGGGACCCACCCTTTCTTACCTATCAAAAGGCACAAAACATATTCAGAAGTGAAAGAAGGAGCAGAAAAAAGAAAACAGTAAAAATAAAAAAAAACCTAAAAAATTCAACCAGAGTTAAATTTGATCATGTTTCAGCTAATTGTTCCTGCACGCACAGTCCTGTGTTCTGAGGCACTGGGAGATCACCGGTTGGCCCACTCCTGGGGAGTCCTGTGGGATCTGATGAGGAAGCCATCCTTTCACCTGTCCGATGATCTGGGAAGGCTTCTGGGGTGGGGGAGGGATACCAGAAGCAGGAGATGGGGGGAGGCAGGCTACCTGAGGGGGTGGGAAGCAGTGACTTGGATCTCTGTCTCCCCATCCCCTACCCCATCTAAAGCCCCAGCTCCTCTGGAGTTGGCCTTTGCCTCACCAGTCCTGGCTTGGGGAGGGGGCCACAGCCACCCCTTGCTCTCTGTTCCCCATGTCCTCTTGTGTGGATTCCTCCCTGATGTATTCTTTTTTTTTTTTTTTTGAGTAAGATCAGCCCTGAGCTAACATCCATGCCAATCCTCCTCTTTTTGCTGAGGAAGACTGGCCCTGGGCTAACATCTGTGCCTGTCTTCCTCCACTTTATATGGGACACCGCCACAGCATGGCCTGACAAGCGGTGCATCAGGTGTGCACCCAGGATCCGAACCCGGACCGCCAGCAGCGGAGCGCGCACACTTAACTGCTACGCCACGGGGCTGGCCCCCTCCCTGGTGTATTCTGTCCTGAGGTCTCCCCTCCTGGATCCCTGGAACCTGTCCCCAGGCTCTGGCCCACGTCCCACCTCCCTCCTGGATGCTGGGAATCACAGGGGTGCAGAAGGTAGTGGGGAAAGGGAGAGAGAGGCAGAGCCACCTGCTATCTCCAGGCAGGGCAGGAAAGAATCTGCAGTTACTCATCTGGAGCCTGCCTAGCTTCCTGGCTGCCTGTCTCATCCCTGCAGCTGGCGCCACCCTTGCCTCCCCCATCCTTCCCCCACCTCTCTGCATCGTGTACTCACTGTTCAAGTCTCCTAGCTCAGGAACTTGACGGTGGGGAGGTTCTGCGGTGGAGTGGGAAGGGCACCTGGGGATCACAGTGTGATCTTAGCTTGCATGGTGGGGGCGAGGCAGGGACTTGGCCTGGGGAGTCACTGCTCTAGGACTCCCCTTCCAGAGCCATCCACTTGCTGTGTGGATGCAGGCAAGCTTGGCCCTCTCTGGGCTTCTGAGTTGAAGGAGTCTTTATCCATTGAGTGGGGCTGGCAGCTCCAGGGATATGACGTGCTCACCACCTCCCCAGGCTGCTCCTTCTTTGGGGCCAGTTCTTCCATGAGAAGCTGCATCTTAACTCCAAGCTGTGGTTTGGTGGAGGGCAGGAGAGGCCCAGGCAGGTATTCAAAGAAGAAACGTTCCTTCCATTCTTCTGTAACAGCACACAGAGAAAATCATTCCTTCATCCCTCATGTTTCACCAGCTACGCTGGCCTGGCCCTGTGATGGCACTGGGGATTTCACAGTGACTTAGACATGGGCTGCCCTCCAGGGGAACCTAGCACTGCTTGAGTGGGGCACGGGGGGTTCTTCTGGTGGTGCCGCAGCTGTGCCTAGGAGGAAAACAAAGTTCGTGGGAGTGCAGGTGATGGAGGGAGAATCGTCCTGACTTGATGAATGGGGAAATGAAGGCCAGGGACTGGTTCTGAAATGGCCTACACCATCCCCTGGTCCTGGAGGCTATGGCTTAGAGCTCGGGAGGGAGAGGGTGGGAGAGGGCATGGTACCAACTCTAGGTGTGTAAGTTCAGGTCCTCCAGAGCAGATGCTAAGATGGAGTTAGGACTGTGGAACTTTATTGGATGGCAGGGGGACCCTCTGAAAGAGAAAGGAGGAGAAAGCAGGAGCGGGCATGGAGAAACTCAGACTGCGATGCAGCTCCAACAGACCCTCTGCCAACCTGACAGTGAGCTCCAGAGCAAAGATGGCACATGGATGCCTTAGTCACCCTGCTGTGCTCGGTCAGTGGCTGGGGGCTGTCTGGGAAGAGCAGGGCCTCAGCTCAAATGCCACGGTGGATCCTGAAGGCGCTGCTGCCAGAGGCTGTCAGAGCGCTGCCTGTCTCACAGCTGAACAGCAAGTTCTCTACTGAGGGGAAATCCAAGTGATGCATGTCTGTGGCTACCACAGAGGGGAAACTGAGGCATGGAAAATGAAGGGAGTGGGAGAGCTCCTGCTCCAGGAGACAGAGGAAGAGGAGACTTAGGTCCTACCCTTGGAGAGCACCTATTCTGGGCACAGAGAGGGATGACTTGAGAAGGAACTCCTTTCCTCAAAATCCCAGGGCTCAGTTTGGTCCAGGGGGTCAGAAGTCTGTCATTGTGCA